AGTCTCCTACCCTACACCCCAACCTACCGATTCCGCAGCACTCATGTTGACACCCATGGTTGTCTTTCTAAAGAGGGCTCTGAACTCAAAAACAGGGCAAAGCTGGGATCCTGCTAGAACTGAAACCTGAGTGGAATAAGAGTGAACAATAAGTTATATGTGATAAATGTGGCATAACAGATTAGGTTTTAATGTGCACTGATTGGCAGGTAATATGTGTCTGTGATGTGTTACTAATCTATTCACTCAGTCATTCATGTGACTAAACTGAACAAAAAGAAGAATAAACTGTCCTATGAAACAAAGCTAAATTATATAAAGAACGATAGTAAAAAGCTTTGGAGCACCTTAAATGAAATTTTGCGCAAAATTGCGAACTCTGCTACATCATTTATTAAATCAGATGGCTCATGCATCACAAAACCCACTGATATCGCCAACTACTTTAATTATTTTTTTCATTGGCAAGATTAGCAAACTTAAGCATGACATGCCAACAACAAATTCTGAACCTACACATGCATAACTGACCAAATTATGAAAGACAAGCATTGTAATTTTGAATTCCGTAAAGTGAATGTGGAAGAGGTGAAAACATTATTGCTGTCTATCAACAATGACAAGCCACCTGGGTCTGACAACTTGGATGGAAAATTACTGAGGATGATAGGGGACGATATTGCCACTCCTATTTGCCATCTCTTCAATCTACGTCAAAAGGAAAGTGTGTGCCCTCAGGCCTGGAGGGAAGCAAAAGTCATTCCGCTACCCAAGAATAGCAAAGCACCCTTTACTGTCTCAAACAGTTACCCTTAGTAAACTTTAGAAAATTGTGTTTGACCAGATACAATGCGATTTCACAGTAACAACAGATTTTAAGCATGCATTTATGGAAGGGCATTCAACATGTATGACACTTACACAAATGACTGATGATTGGCTGAGAGAAATTGATAATAAAAAGATTGTGGGAGCTGTTTTGTTAGACTTCAGTGCAGCTTTTGACAATATCGATCATAATCTGCTGCTGAAAAAAATTATGTGTTATGTATGGCTTTACATCCCATTATATTGTTGGTCGAGAGTTGCCTGTCTAACAGAACATAGAGGGTGTTCTTTAATGGAAGCCTCTCCAACATAATCCAGGTAGAATCATCAAGCATTCCCCAAGGCAGCTGTCTAGGCCCCTTATCTTTTTCAATCTTTACTAATGACCTGCCGCAAATTCAAGGGTAAAGCCAGTGGTCTATGTATGCTGATGACTCAACACTATACACATCAGCTACCACAGCAAGTGAAATCACTGCAACACTTAACAAAGAGCTGCAGACAGTTTCAGAATGGGTGGCAAGAACAAAGTAAAAAAAATAAAATAAACTAAAAGCATTGTATTTGGGACAAATCATTCACTAAACCCTAAACCTCAATTCAATCTTGTAATGGATAATGTGGAAATTGAGAAAGTTGTGAAGACTAAATTGCTTGGAGTAACCCAGGATTGTAAACTGTCATGGTCAAAACATATTGACGCAGCAATAGCTAAGATGGGGAGAGGTCTGTCCATAATAGAGCTCTGCTCTGCTTTCTTAACATTGCTATCAACAAGGCAGGTCCTACAGGGCCTAGTTTTGTTGCTCCTGGACTACTGTCTAGTCGTGTGGTTAGGTGCTACAAAGAGGGACAGGAAAATTACAACTGGCCCAGAACAGGGCAGCACGGCTGGCCCTTAAATATACACGGAGAGCTAACATTAATAATATGCATGTCAATCTCTCTTGGCTCAAAGTAGAGGAGAGATTGACTTCATCACTACTTGTATTTTTGAAAAGTATTGACATGTTGAATGCACCGAGCTGTCTGTTTAAATTACTAGCACACAGTCTGACACCCATGCATACCTCACAAGACATGCCACCAGAGGTCTCTTCACAGTCCCAAAGTCCAGAACAGACTATGGGAGGCGCACAGTACTACATGGAACTCATGCATGCAGTAAAATCAGATAAAAGAAAACAGCGGGGACTGTGGACACACACACACAAACAGGCACACACATGATAACATATGCACTATACACACATGTACACATGGATTTTGTGTTGTAGATATGTGGTAGTACAGTAGTGGCCTGAGGGCACACACTTAATGTGTTGAGAAATCTGTTGTGAAATGTATTGTAATATTTTAAATGGTATATAACTGCCTTCATTTTGCTGGACCCCAGGAAGAGTAGCTGCTGCCTTGGCAGCAGCTAATGGGGATCCATAATAAATACAAATACAAAATTCTGTGTCTTTTTTTTACTCCAGTTACAGTGGTTATGATACATATTATATTTTTCTCAGTAAATGAGTGCTACCATGAGAGATTCATTCCCAAGATGCAATGGATGAAGTTAGCATATCCTTGATAATATCTGCTACGTTAAGTGATGGACCAAACCATTTTCCTAAACATTTCCTGCCCCCCAGCTGCTGCTGCTACAACCGTTATCTAATCTGTGATACCTCTTTATGACACCAGGTGGGAGTGCCACCACACTAATACAACAACATCAAGGTCAATGGAACTCAGGAGATACAGTTGTTGAATGTTAATGGTGAATGCATTGAAAGGATTACATTTATGAGGGGAAAACCGTTTGCATACTGTCTTGGATTGTACCTTTTGTATACATGCAAGAGAGAGAAATGTTTTTAATGCTACCATAATGTGCTGATACAGAACACCCACCCACCCACTGTACACATACTGTATATACATACATACATATACACACACACACACACATGCATGTATGAGGTGTGTGTGTGTGGGTGGGTGTGTGTAAGTTCACAGTACAGGGTACATGGGCTCAGGGGTCAGTGTTAAGTTGGGCGATCACAGTGCTATCTGTCAGTCTGTCCTTACTTGATTAGCTATGCTAGTCTCTAGCATCTAATCTAAACTTCCACATATACCTCCATCTCTTTCCCATTAATATGATTCTCCACACTGATCATTATGCCCCTATCTGCTTCACCCCCTAAAACCGAAAGCACAATCTAATGTGAATCATAACAGAACGAAGCCATGAGGTGCTACAGCCAAAGCAAACAGAGAGAATGAGAGAGAAAGACAGAGAGAGAGAGAGCGAGAGAGAGAGCGAGAGAGAGAGAGATCAAAGGAGGAAACTGATTAGCTAGAGACATAAGTTGGAGCTACAGGAGTTGATGGAGAGGAGTGTGGTGTCAACATTGCGGAGGGGAAGGGGACATCATGCTACTGTAAATCGGGGATGTGTTGAGTCCACTGGCTGCCACGCAATGCTATCAATCAACCAACCCTATCTGGAAAAACAATCCCTTTGTCTGAATAAAACGGGGAGAAAGTGATTCCCTATCAAAGTCAGACAAAGCGGAACTGGGGTGGACAGTGCTAAAGAAACACGAGAAGCGCATTCACAAAGGAAAGACGGCACACGCAGACACACTCACGAGCAGGGGAGAACAGTGGCTTTCTCATTCCCACACTGAGCATGCTGTGACATCACAGGAGTGCCGACCAACCAGGACACGGCTCAGTGCCAAGCTGAAGCAAGAGAACACATGCAGTAGAGGTACACATACAGACACACAGACAAACATCCACAAAGCATAGAGCATCTATCACATAGAATAACAGGGAAATAGGGTCCAAGTAAATGAAGCATTGGTAGGCTCAGCATTGGCTTCGCTGTATCGTACCAATCAGTTGTGGGAAAAAAATACTGTTGCTTTTTTGGCTGTAGTGTTACCAGACTCAACTTGCTAACACAAACTGCTCCTTTGTAGGGGAAAAGTGTCCTTAAACTCACCCCTGACCCAGTCCTGGGTTGGCCCTGTACCTTGTACCCCTTCAGTTTGTAGATAATGACAGTTCAAAGGTCATGCACCATCAGTCAATCATGCGATTACAGTTGACAGGAAGCACTCTTTTGTTGCATTTTTGGGGGGTTGGATTTTCTCATGTTTTTCATAGAAAAAAAATCATGCCCTACTCTAGTTTAGTATCCTTTTCTTTTTCTTTTCTTTTTACAAAACTACAAGTAGATCTCAGTCTCTTTTCCTCTTGTTGTGGAACTCCAGGGTCATTCTGCAGATAATTTTGTGTTTGTATTTTGTTGTTTGCAGATCTTAGTCTTTCTTTCAGTCTTTGTTCCCTCTTCTCCTCTCAATCGTTTCCTTGTTTTCCTCTGTCACCTGGCTTTGTGTTTGTGGAGGATGGTTTGGCAGTGGATGTCCGGTCCTAGGGGACAGAGAAGAAAATGATTTCAGTAAAAAGGGAATTGTTTTTAACTACTACAATCTCATCACATTTAAAGAGAGGGACATAAGTAGCCAGACAATATGATGAAGTCACAATCTATTAAACCAATGAATCAACTGATTAAATAAAAAATGAACAGCACCTAAAAATAACAGGTGATGTATTCTCATTCAGAAGTGGTGGAATGTTATGTACACATACATGCTCTGATGAGAGCTGTCAGACAAAGATTCTTTAATCTTTCACTTTATAACATTATTGCAAGGGAGTAGTGTGCTGGGGTTGTAATTAACATTAGCCAGTTTAACTTCAACCCTCTCTGGTTGACCAGGGTCTGATAGATAGTTCTTAAAGCATCTATCCAAGCACTGGAATATATACACAAGTGTGTCCTGTACCTTGAGGACTGGGTATGTGTGTTTCAGTGTTTTACTCTCCGCAGACTGGTGCGCTTCACTGACTGAGCCCCCTTCCTCACATCCACCCCCACCTACAGTCCAGCAAGGAGGGAGGGAGGGAGCAGGGTAGGAGAAAAGACTCAAAGGAGTTAACACTTATCTAAGTGATGTGTATTTGTAAGCATGTGTGTGTGTATGTGTGTTTGTATGTGTCTATTTGTGAGTGTGTGAGTCTATTTGTGGGAGAAATAGTTATGCAGAAGAAGACAAACTAACATTTCTAGTGACGACTTTTCCATGTTCGTCCACAAACTGCTCCTCAGCCAGAAACTCAACAGCATAGTCCTCTTTATCAACATTAATCTGTGTCAAAACATCAGGATATAACACATGAAATTAACAAAATGACATTAGGACACAGGTTTACAAACCACACAACACAACTTTGCCCCATTAACCTAATTTCAGGTGATGATACATCAAAAACATAACATCAAAAATATTTTGATGGTTGGAATTTTCATGATTAAAACCAAATTAAAAGATTTTCCTATCTATCGCAGGCATGGACAGGAAGTCCCTCCTCCAGGCACAGGAAGCAGCAGGTGGTCAGTCGGCGTGAAAACCTGACCTGGCCCCGCCTCCGCTCCTGCTCCCAGGCCCGGGGCCCCGCCTCCTGATGAAAGAAGCCCAGCCCCTTGTCAAAGGGCTGCGTGCCAAACAGTTGCCTGCACAGCATGCCCCATGTCACACACCGGCGTCAAGAGAGCCTCCTGGGCTACGCGTGACCCCGGTAACATCATCAGCGTCTCCACACTCTGCCGGGGAAGCCTGGGTGTCTGCGACCCCGCCCAGCCATGCAGGGAGTCCTTGTCGGGTAGGTACGGCTGGAATGCACCGCCTCCCACCACCCTGAGAGAGACGGGGAGAGGGAGACAGGGACAGAGAGACGGAGTGGACAGAGGAGCAGACAGACAGAGCAAAAGAGACAGAGGTGCGAGTAGGAAAGAGAACAAGACAGACAGACAAAATACACGAAAAGAGAATGTCCTAATGGATTAATGGATTGAGTATTGAGTATGGATTTAGTACACACATACAGAGAATAAGGTTGAGAGCAGGACTGTCTGACCTGACCAGTCTGAACCCCTGAGTTAGTCTCACCTGTTGTCTCCGTTGTGCTCCATGGTTCGGCTCAGTCCTGACATCTCACACAGCTGGGCGTAGACCTGCTGTCCTGAAACAACAGAAAGCCCTTCCTCTGAACTCTGCCCTACTCCTCCTCCTCCAGTCACACTGCTGCCCGCCACTGACGCTGCTACCTCCACCCTCCTGCCCTCCGACCTCTGACCTCCCAGCTGGCCATTCAGGTTGACCTTTGGCACGGCGCCGCTGGCCCTCACCCTGTCCCTGTCCGCCGGCTCCTGTCGCATCTCCTCTACCTCCCCTTCCTCTTCCTCCAGCTCCATGATGGAGCCACTGGCCCCGCTGGCCCCACTGCTGGGGCGCCCCAGGCTGAAGGGCAGGGACAGGGTGGCCCCCTCTGAGTCGTCAGCCCGGCTGCTGCCATCCAGGGATGAGTCCTCCACTGTGACCAGGGAGGGGCTGACACCCGAGGGCCACACCTGCACGTCAGACATCTCCATCAGGATGTCTTCTTCGGTGGTGGCGATTGGGGCACACTCCAGGCTGGAGACCTCCTGCCAGTAGGGCTCAGCGCCCAGCGGAGAGGGCAGGCTGTACAGCATGGAGGCCGGGGAGAGCAGCTCCTCCTGCACCAGCCCGTAACCTGGGAGGGAGGTGAGATAAAGAGAGAGGGAGACTAACACCACGCAGGCACAGATATGGGGGAGTTAGGGGAGGGGAGGGATGTGGGAGTAGTGGGACTGTTTCTCAGCCCTATAGGAAACAGTGGGGCTCAGTCCTGTGTCACAATATGCTGGGAAAGAGAAAGTGACTAGATTTGTTTTCACCACTTCCAGTTCCAAGGAGGCACACACACTCACTGGCACATTCTTGGAATCGGTAGTACTGAAAAAATCTCTTTCCCAGTGTTTAGTCTTGCATTGTCTCACTTTCCATGAAAAACACTGATTTTGCAGACCACTGATCTAGTGATCTGTCAGTGGTTCTGATGGAGAGGATGCATGGAAGGAAGCAGTTTTACAGTATTGGGACACAGCTTGATTTTCACCCTGAGAGTAGCAGGTCTTATATAGGGAATACGGGGTTAGAAATGGAGTCTTGTCCATTGTCTGTGGGAAAGGGGTGAAGTGTTAGAAGGGTTTCTTAATAAGTAAGAAAGCGCAGTTGCAGTTGAAACTGTAATCCAAGATAGGAATAGAGAGCAGGTGAGTGGGGTGTTTGGGGTCAGTTGGGTTGGCACGATAATCAATACTACCAAATTATCATGATACGCATGTTCAATGATACCTGTAATATTGAATTAAAGTGTGTCCAGTGTTAATTGCAATATCATTTTCATTGTTCTCAATTAGCTATTGGCAACAACATTTACATTTAAACATGTCCACCTTCCTGATATAGTGCCTCTTCAATATCTATTATCTTGATAAATACATTTAAATTTTGATACTATTATCAATGAGATACAAAATTCCATTATTGTTCCAAACCAAATCACAAGTGAGAGGGTCAGGAAGCTGCAGATTCTGCTGAGAAAATTACAAGTTACTTGCACTTGCACTCACGCACAAGTGCACACACACAGGCACACACACACATAATACATACTCAAACAGGACACACACATTCAACACACACTCAGAGAACTCATACACACACATACTGAACATATACAAACACAATTTTACCAGAACATCTTCCAAAAATAGGTTTATGTTGTGAAATTAGTTAGATTTACTGATCTATATGTCTGTATAAATATGCTTTTATTTGAGTTTCTAATTCTAGGCAAAGATGTAAATAGAGCCCATATTTCAGCTCGTAAGTTCCTGTCTGTGTGTCTGTCCGTCTCCTATCATCATGGTTGTCTTTCTCTGTTCTGTCCATCTTAAAAGCATTTCGGTGTGACTTTTTTATTTGTTAATTTTTTTAGGGGGTAGATCAGCTTTAATATTTCAGATAGATTGTAACTTCCATCAATGTAATTGTCTGCATCACTTCCAATCCCCCATATGTGTTTTTTTCTCGCAAATTATATATATATATATATATATATATATATATACACACAGTGGGGGGAAAAAAGTATTTAGTCAGCCACCAATTGTGCAAGTTCTCCCACTTAAAAAGATGAGAGGCCTGTAATTTTCATCATAGGTACACGTCAACTATGACAGACAAATTGAGGAAAAAAATTCCAGAACATCACATTGTAGGATTTTTAATGAATTTATTTGCAAATGATGGTGGAAAATAATTATTTGGTCACCTACAAACAAGCAAGATTTCTGGCTCTCACAGACCTGTAACTTCTTCTTTAAGAGGCTCCTCTGTCCTCCACTCGTTACCTGTATTAATGGCACCTGTTTGAACTTGTTATCAGTATAAAAGACACCTGTCCACAACCTCAAACAGTCACACTCCAAACTCCACTATGGCCAAGACCAAAGAGCTGTCAAAGGACACCAGAAACAAAATTGTAGACCTGCACCAGGCTGGGAAGACTGAATCTGCAATAGGTAAGCAGCTTGGTTTGAAGAAATCAACTGTGGGAGCAATTATTAGGAAATGGAAGACATACAAGACCACTGATAATCTCCCTCGATCTGGGGCTCCACGCAAGATCTCACCCCGTGGGGTCAAAATGATCACAAGAACGGTGAGCAAAAATCCCAGAACCACACGGGGGGACCTAGTGAATGACCTGCAGAGAGCTGGGACCAAAGTAACAAAGCCTACCATCAGTAACACACTACGCCGCCAGGGACTCAAATCCTGCAGTGCCAGACGTGTCCCCCTGCTTAAGCCAGTACATGTCCAGGCCCGTCTGAAGTTTGCTAGAGTGCATTTGAATGATCCAGAAGAGGATTGGGAGAATGTCATATGGTCAGATGAAACCAAAATATAACTTTTTGGTAAAAACTCAACTCGTCGTGTTTGGAGGACAAAGAATGCTGAGTTGCATCCAAAGAACACCATACCTACTGTGAAGCATGGGGGTGGAAACATCATGCTTTGGGGCTGTTTTTCTGCAAAGGGACCAGGACGACTGATCCGTGTAAAGGAAAGAATGAATGGGGCCATGTATCGTGAGATTTTGAGTGAAAACCTCCTTCCATCAGCAAGGGCATTGAAGATGAAACGTGGCTGGGTCTTTCAGCATGACAATGATCCCAAACACACCGCCCGGGCAATGAAAGAGTGGCTTCATAAGAAGCATTTCAAGGTCCTGGAGTGGCCTAGCCAGTCTCCAGATCTCAGCCCCATAGAAAATCTTTGGAGGGAGTTGAAAGTCCGTTTTGCCCAGCGACAGCCCCAAAACATCACTGCTCTAGAGGAGATCTGCATGGAGGAATGGGCCAAAATACCAGCAACAGTGTGTGAAAACCTTGTGAAGACTTACAGAAAACGTTTGACCTGTGTCATTGCCAACAAAGGGTAAATAACAAAGTATTGAGAAACATTTGTTATTGACCAAATACTTATTTTCCACCATCATTTGCAAATAAAATCATAAAAAATCCTACAATGAGATTATCTGGGGAAAAAAATCTCATTTTGTCTGTCATAGTTGACGTGTACCTATGATGAAAATTACAGGCCTCTCTCATCTTTTTAAGTGGGAGAACTTGCACAATTGGTGGCTGACTAAATACTTTTTTCCCCCACTGTACCTTGCGTATCTGTTTGGACAATATGCACATTCGGATCGAAATTACTGTTAATTAATCATTCGGTGTGACTTCTTTGTATATTTATCTCTTGAGAGTCTGTGTTGTAGGTGGTAATGAGTATGTTGTAATGTGGTAATAAGTTGGAGAAGGAACTGAAGTGTTCATGGACACTGGACTAATGAATGAAGTTTGGCTTTATTTCTTTCAGAGTGGTGATGCCTATGGAGAATAGTGTAACTGTAAAAGTCTGTTAGTGTGCGTGTTAGTGTATGTGAGTGTGAATGTGTGTCTCTGGGATGGTATAGTGATGGTACAGTACAGAGACAGTAGAGGTGAGGATGATGAGGAGTATAGATGTGTTTTGAATTAAACGGATGTTGAACAAATGAGTTGGAATGATAATGGTTTATCTGGGTTAGTCCTTACTGTACCTCCCAATTTAAAGACAAAAGTGTAAAACTAACATTACAACACATAGTGAAGCACAACAACTCCACATAGATTGTCAATCTACAAACACACAAACTCACAATACAATGCACAGCACTATCCACCTATGAACAACACACACGCAAACATACAGAGACACATAAAAACACACCGACAGTTCACAGGTCACTGTACGAACACACACACCCAGGAACACACACTCCACCACACCACACCATCGAACACACTAGCTGGTACATAACATTCTAACAATGTATCTGTAACATTACGACAAGATTGTCTTAATGACAAAGCTGTCATGTCACAGCTACATTATTTTGAGAAAATTATGTGCTGTTCGATCAACCATGGGTTACAGCCTAGCATAAAACCAACACCATAGAATTCACAGAAAACCCATTGAGATTTAAGGAGTTAATACAGCATTTAAGTTCGACAAAAAGCAGAGAAACAAGAAAAAGTAAAATACGCATAAGGAAATAGTCATAAAGAAAGCATGCCATGCAAATACATAGTTCTTATTCCAAAACATCAAACTTTTATTTTGATAGCAAGACCTTTATTTTGATACCCCTCCACCCCACCTCAACACTGACCCTCCCAGACCTAGAGAAAGACACTTTTCGCTGATGCGAGCCACAGAGAGAGGAACAGCGAGGCAGGCAGCATGCACATGCATAGACACAGATCTACATCGAGAGAGGAGGAGAGGGTCCCCGCTCGACTGAACACGGGAGCACGGGAAAATAAGATGACAGGAGAGAGGAGAGGCCCAGAGGTCAACATGAGGTCAATATGAGGTCAGAGGTCGGAGAGGAAGAGCTGTGAGGAGGAGGAAGAGAAGGGCGGCTGGGTAGCAGATATGACATGTCACAGACACAGAGAGAAAGAGAGAAAGAGGGACAGATCTAGGAGAGACAGAGGGGAATAACAAAGGAGCAAGGTATGGAGGCCCAGAGCACACAAACTGTGTACTAGTGCCACTTAGTGTTCATCCACCCCCCCACGTGCGCACACACACACATACATCCGACTCATCCATATACTAGACTAAAACTTAAACACAGAGGTAAAATGTATATTTTAGTCTGTCCTAATTAACTCAATGTGTAGAACTGTCATTTCAAATGACATCTGTCTTCAAGTTGTGTTTATTTGAGGTTTTATCCTCATATCTCCTATGATGTCATGTGAGAACCATCATGTTCAGGCCTAAAGCATGAGGTGTCAGAACAGTGAAACTGAAATGATGGTTGTCACCAAAATGCAGTAAGGAAATGCTCACATTACATGCTCACATATCACTGGGTTATGGTGGAAATCGCACCATCCCTCAGACGTGACTCAAAATCCTTTGAGAATCATCAGAAGAAATCAACCATGCAGCCCACTTACCCCTTCTGAAAAATGGGTGCCTAATAACTCGTGGCTTGTAGACTACAGGTGGATGACCTGTGTCCGTGATCTCTTGTGGAGCAACAGAGATAAGGTTCAATCTGTGTTACCCATACACTTGGGAAGAGTATTGGTCTTCTCATTGATCTTGTTTTCACCATTGACATTACTAGGGGCAGGTATGGTATTTTCATACTACTGATTACATTGATGGAATGTGTGTGTGTGTGTGAGTGTGTGTGTGAGTGCAACTGTATGTGTGTGTGTGTGTGTGTGCGCGTGCGTGCACATCTCTGTGTATGTGTCTCTTACCATTGATAACACTGGGGGAGAGCAGGGTGGAGTCGCGGTCGGCCAGTCTGCAGGCCCCCTCCTCTGAGGCCCCGGCCTCTGCCTGTGGCTGGCCCTCCACTGAACTCACAATGTCTGAACGGTCAATGTTTTTCAGAGCCCCATACAGACTCTCCACTGACAGAGGGAAAGAGGAAAGGAGAGAGAGAGGGGGCAGAAAATAAGGAAAGGAATGCAGAGAATTGTGCTGGGGGACTGTAGTAAGACACAGACTCAGAGAGACAGACAGACAAACAGACAGAGAGACAGCCAGCCAGCCAGACAGAGACAGCCAGCCAGACAGACAGACAGACTCACTCTTGGCCCTCTTGCCCTCTCGGCCGGCCCACAGATTGAGCAGGGCTGAACTCTGGTCCAGGAGCGAGTTAGGATTCTCCACCCTGATCCTGTTAACGTCATCCACACCAAAATGTAGCTCCCGTGCCAACTCTGAGAGAGAGAATAAATAATTAAGTAAATCATATCCATATTTACGTTTATTTGACCACATATAGTAGACTGTATACAGTAGGCACTCATGTACAGGAGCACTGACCTGCCCAGCTCAAGCCCAGCTGTTCAGATATGAGGGAGATCTTGAGCTCGGTCCTCTCCATGGCATTCACTGTAAAAAAAAAATACAAATTCAGAAACAGAACAGTCTCAGAACTAAATATACTTTACACAGTCAAAGTACAACTGTGTCTGACTCAGAACGTCTACTGCAAATTAATTACTCAAACCCGACTACAGAACTGAACACCGTAAACTGGATAAACAGTATAGCACAACAACTAACATTTTTACACAATTTTCCATGTTACTCAATAAAGGAGACCAAACTAACCACCAAAATACCCAACATATCAAACCCACTAAAATCAGTTGCTATTAAAAGAGATAATAGCAAACTTACCTTGACACATTACCCACAGAGTATAGTGTTTTTGCCAATACGATCCATGTGTGTTAGCAGACTATAGGCAGGGTAGTTTAGAGGTAGGTAGAGTATTGGAGGCATTCATTCAGACACCAGTCCATTCTGTTAGGGCAACATAATCATGGGGAACTGGGGTGCAAGGCAGCAGCGCTGTGCTTAGATAGACAGAAAAGGCCCTGCCCTCATTTTCACCATGTAACCAATGAGCACTCCTTCCTTTCTTCGCTCATCTACCATGGGCCAAACAGAGGGCTCCTCTGTCTGGCTCCACTGCGAGGACCCGCCCATTCCCAGCACTAAGCTAAATGCTAAATATCCGCCATGCTAACAGGACTCGCAGTGGAGCGACCAGCACCAGCGCCATGCAAACCATAACAGGTCATTCAGTACTAATGTTACCAGAACTCTGGAAGGGTTATAGTTTTCCATGGAGCTGTTTGGATGTGTACGTATTAGCTAATCTTTGGCACATAATCAATATGGCGCCATCATCACACTGCTGTGTATTATGGGGCGTAGTAGAGCAGTGCATCCAAGGCTCATGCGTGCACGAGATAGAGAGAGTAGTAGACTGGGAAGCAGGGGAGAAGGGGTGCAACATTCAGGCTCTGTCTCCTCCTGTATAGCGGGGAGAGGGCTTCTGAACAGGCATGGTATGACTTACCCAGACCGGGCTCGTTCAGCGCGCTGTAGCGCTCCCTCAGGGCCAACGGGGTCAGAGTTCGCCTGCGCTCCTCACTCCCCACAACCTGGACCACACACAAGGGACACAGTCTCAAAAGCACACACATATAACTGACTAAATATGGCTACTATCTCTGAAATACAAGCAACTTCTTCCAAGGTTGTCTAAGGACATGTTTGAATTAGGTTTCTTGTATCTATGCTGCTTTTGTGACTATTACTTTGTACTGTACTATCTTAGTGGAAATAAAACTGAATTTGAGATGTTAAAAAATTGCTTAAAATAGCACTGGGATGGTGGAACTTGTAGCAGAGCATCTAAATATTCGGTTAATCTTTGCTTTTAAAACTCTCTTTGGATACGGTATCTCTTACAGTCTGTATTTCATGTTGGTCTTTTTTAAGCCTTCAAAGTTCAACTGATCATTCATCAGCTGAGGAAGGTGCAGACAGAACCAATCAACCGGCAGCAACATTAAAGCAGAAAAACACCCCATTCATAATTTCCATTAAATTAATGACTGTAATCATATCTGCTAATGTAGAACGGAAGTAATATATTTCTGTATTGGCAAGGTTAAGAGGGGTTGTGAGTGTGTAATGTTGGTAGTGGAGAGTGGTTTAGAAGGGTTGAAAGAGGTTGCATGTGAGTAGTTTAGTGGGTGTACAGTGAGGGAAAAAACTATTTGATCCCCTGTTGATTTTGTACGTTTGCCCACTGACAAAGAAATGATCAGTCTATAATTTTAATGGTAGGATTATTTGAACTGTGAGAGACAGAATAACAACAAAAAATCTTGAAAAACACATGTCAAAAATGTTATAAATTGATTTGCATTTTAATGAGGGAAATAAGTATTTGACCCCCTCTCAATCAGAAAGATTTCTGGCTCCCAGGTGTCTTTTATACAGGGCCCCGTGTAGCTCAGTTGGTAGAGCATGGCATTTGCAACGCCAGGGTTGTGGGTTCGATTCTCACGGGGGGCCAGTATGAAAAAATGTATGCACTCACTAACTGTAAGTCGCTCTGGATAAGAGCGTCTGCTAAATGACTAAAATGTAAATGTAAAAATGTAACGATCTGAAATTAGGAGCACACTCTTAAAGGGAGTGCTCCTAATCTCAGCTTGTTACCTGTATAAAAGACACCTGTCCACAGAAGCAATCAATCAATCAGATTCCAAACTCTCCACCATGGCCAAGACCAAAGAGCTCTCCAAGGATGTCAGGGACAAGATTGTAGACCTACACAAGGCTGGAATGGGCTACAAGACCATCGCCAAGCAGCTTGGTGAGAAGGTGACAACAGTTGGTACGATTATTTGCAAATGGAAGAAACACAAAATAACTATCAATCTCCCTCGGCCTGGGGCTCCATGCAAGATCTCACCTCGTGGAGTTGCAATGATCATGAGAATGGTGAGGAATCAGCCCAGAACTACAAGGGAGGATCTTGTCAATGATCTCAAGGCAGCTGGGACCATAGTCACCAAGAAAACAATTGGTAACACACTATGCCGTGAAGGACTGAAATCCTGCAGCGCCCGCAAGGTCCCCCTGCTCAAGAAAGCACATATACAGGGCCGTCTGAAGTTTGCCAATGAACATCTGAATGATTCAGAGGAGAACTGGGTGAAAGTGTTGTGGTCAGATGAGACCAAAATCGAGCTCTTTGGCATCAACTCAACTCGCCGTGTTTGGAGAAGGAGAAATGCTGCCTATGACCCCAAGAACACCATCCCCACCGTCAAACATGGAGGTGGAAACATTATGCTTTGGGGGTGTTTCTCTGCTAAGGGGACAGGACAACTTCACCGCATCAAAGGGATGATGGACGGGGCCATGTACCGTCAAATCTTGGGTGAGAACCTGGGTCGTGGATGTGTATTCCAGCATGAAAATGACCCCAAACACACAGCCAAGGCAACAAAGGAGTGGCTAAAGAAGAAGCACATTAAGGTCCTGGAGTGGCCTAGCCAGTCTCCAGACCTTAATCCCATAGAACATCTGTGGAGGGAGCTGAAGGTTCGAGTTGCCAAACGTCAGCCTCAAAACCTTAATGACTTGGAGAAGATCTGCAAAGAGGAGTGGGACAAAATCCCTCCTGAGATGTGTGCAAACCTGGTGGTCAACTACAAGAAATGTCTAACCTCTGTGATTGTCAACAAGGGTTTTGCCACCAAGTACTAAGTCATGTTTTGCAGAGGGGTCAAATACTTATTTCCCTCATTAAAATGCAAATCAACTTATAACATTTCTGACATGCGTTTTTCTGGATTTTTTTGTTGTTATTCAGTCTCTCACTGTTCAAATAAACCTACCATTAAAATTATAGGCTGATCAAATCTTTGTCAGTGGGCAAACATACAAAATCAGCAGGGGATCAAATACTTTTTTCCCTCACTGTATGAGAGACTGTTTGTGAGAGAGAGATACATGTATATGAGTGGTTCTAAGTATGTTTGAGAGTCACTACGTGGGAATTCTGAATGTGAGCGAGTGGTTTGGCGTGCGTTTGTATGTACAGTATGTATGTATGTGTGTGTGTGTATATTCATGAGTGTTTACCTTGACACAGGGTGGCATGGTGATGTTGAGGTTACACAGCACATGCTGAGAGTCCTCATACTTGGTAGACTTCCGTAGGAAAGAAAGGAACCCAGAGGCCTCCTTATTGCTGTCTCTGACCTGAATGAAAGAAAGAAAGAAAGAAAGAAAGAAAGAAAGAAAGAAAGAAAGATAGAAAGATAGATAGAGAAAACCAGAAGAGGTGGATTCGAGGAGGAGAGACACGAGAGAATGACAGAGGTAAGAAGAGGTAAGAGGAACAGATATGAAGGATAAAGAGGAGGGGTGAAAAAGAATGGGGGGAAAAAAGCGAGGGGGAAGAAGAACAGAGCAAAGGGGGAATTAGACAACCTGCAGTGTGGTGGGTCTGTCGAGCAGAAACACAGGGGGGAAGGGATGGAAGCAGTCCATAGGCAGGCGAGAGAGAGAGATTTACCTGCACATTTACCTGGGCGTCTGTCAGATCAGACAGTAACAGAGACCGTGAGAGAAAGAAAGAGAGACAGTGAGACAGACATACAGACAGGCAGGCCGCAAGATTGGCAGGCAGGCAAGAAGGTGAAAGAGTTAAAGGACGTGCACACAGTTACATCTAGGGAGAGTAGGTAGGTACACCACTGTGGAGAATACTTCACAAAACACTCGTCTGAGACTGACTGAGACTGAAGCGCACGTCACACACACTCAAAGCCACACAGACAGACATACAGATGACACAGACAGATATATTGGTAGACAAACACACAGAAACAAACTACAGACACACAAATGGAGAGAAACACAGACAGCCACACAGATAGAGAGACATGGTGTATGTGATAGAGAAGTGTTGGTTGGAACTCAACACAGTTAAACAAGAAGAGAAAGATAGACTGAAAATATATTTCAAAATCGCAAGATTTGAAACAGCTGGAGAGATGGAGTGATAGAGATGGGCGAAGGTACACAATGATTGTAATGAACATATAAAAAGGTAAAGAGATAGATGGACGGGACAGATGGAGACACAGACATGTAGACTGGATCGAAAGACCGACTGACTGTCGACCGACCGACTGTTGATTCACAAAACCTGTCTGACTAACATGTTAAATACATAAACAGACAGTTTGACAGACTGACATGTCCTGGAAGCAATAAAACAGACTGACTGACAGATGGACATTTCCATTAAATCGACAATCACAATTCCTATGGGAAAATATAGAGAATGAGTGGGAGACGGACCTTGACCGAGACAGGCAGTCTGTTATCTCTGAAGGCTTGGAAGCTGAAGCTACGTGGCTGCTGAGTGGCCTTCCTCACAGGCACCAGGTTCCCAGAGCACTCCAGGTGCAACGGCATGCCCTCCATCACCTTAGGGGTCGAAGGAGAGTCAGGGGAGAAAAATCTTCCATTGACTTCAATGGATTATTTAAACAAATGTCTGAGTTATGTGAACATATTTAAAAGACAGTAGAACCTACTGATACACACACTAAACCCCTCTCCCCTGACCCCTGACCCTTGCCCCCTGCTGACCTCTATATCCCTGCTCCGTGCCACCTCGCTGAAGTTCTCGTGCAGCTCCAGAGTTTTGTCCATCTTGTCGTCGGTCATGCAGTAGCAGCGTAGGCGACCCTCGCGCGCCTCGTTCATTTTGGCGAATATCACAAACTTGGCCATATAGGGCACGGCCATCAGCTCCCGGTACAGCAGGTTGGCGAAGGTCACCGCCTCGGCCGTGCGAGGGCAGTCTGTCAGCCAGAACCTGGGCAGAGGATGAGAGGAGAGATGACGCACAGAGAAGGGCGAGGGATAGTCGATAGAGAGAGTGGCTTGTGTGCATCTGTGTTGTGTTAAAGAGTACAGTTAATGGATTTTCGGGTGTTACATAGCGTCAGTGGATGGAACTCAATATGGTTTGGCACAGGATGAGGTTACAAATGGCTATATGCATTGGGTAAATAGTATACGGGTGTTCTGCTTCATACATTTTGTATAACCTCTACAGGAGAGTGCATGGCTGACTGTTGTGAGTGTGAATTAGGACACACCTTGCAGAGACGTTGGTGGTGAAGTTGGCGCAGTTGTTGGTGTACATCAGCTTGGTGGTGCCAGTGATGTCCTCCCATTGGGCAGGCGCTGTTCCACCTGGGAAACAAAGAACTGTTTAATCTCTCTCTTTTTATGCACTTCCACTTACTCATTCTCTCTCTTTCCCCTCAGAGACCTGCTTTGTCCCCCTAAATGTAAATGTAATAAAACTGACTGGCTTGGCTCGTGATGCTTTCTGTTGGTCAGCACTAGTTCTGTCACCTTAACCCCTGTCCTAACACTCACTTATGTTGGCAATGAACGCTATTGGCCATGAAACAGTTGTTAAGGGTATAAAGTCAACTCTACGCCGGACTGTACCAATGACACTGCAGAGGAGGCGCAGGCTGGTGGTGTCCCCCTGCCCAGCGTCACGTGGACTCTCCCTCCAAGAGGGGGGGAGTGGGATACGTAATCCGATTGGCCGGTGGAACTTGCGTCGTCGTGGCTCTACCGTGACCACTGGACTGAAGGTCGCTTGGTTACCAAGCTGTCGAGTCAGCAGCTCGTCTGGGATTGGCTGAGCCTGAAGAGGGAGAGGAAAGAGGGGAGATGGGAAAGAGTGAGAGAAAAGAGAAAGGGATAAAGGAGAAAGGACAAGTTATGTATTAAAATGGGAGACAAAAATAAGAACAATAATGTAAGGAAAAAATATCACAGAATACGTTTATCACATTACTTGCCCTCCGGAGCATAGTTAACAAAATTATTAAGACAAACTCACACATATTCTGACAACATAATACATAGTCCTACCTGAACATACTGTATATCTAACCGATGGATAAACAGTGCACACAATCATACTCACACGTAAAACCAAGTAACATGCAAATTTGAATATCAGTTCATCATCTTTGTCAATGTAGCAGGATTTAGCTCAGGGAACTGAAGTGTGAAGAAAGGCTGGATAAAGAAAAAAATTTAAACAACAATGAACCAAAGCAAACACTTTCATACATGCTAAAATTCTATATGACAAATACAGTATACAAACAATTAAGAGATATAGGACCCATGGATTCAGCAAGAAATAAAACAACACAATCATGGAAAAAGAAAACTAATCCAGCTTCAGTATATGGAGTTAGTCAGCATTCCTGAGTGCCAGTTTCTATGTGTATATGCCATAGTCAGTTTTATGCATTAGCCATTGTTGCTGTGGTGCCAACATTGCTTGTTTGGCAGGGCAGACAGCACTGATTGAGTAAGCTAAAGAGAGCAACTACCTGCCAAGATGTCCCATTCAATCAAACTTGATTGAATACAGTCCTGGGACAGCTCTTTGTAAGAGCAGTGCAGAAAGTAATATTCACTCCTGCTTGAAAACCTGCATTTCCATAAAGTCCTCTTTAAAAAGGCAGGACAGAACCCAGAGGAGGGTCAGGTGTCTGAAACGGCTGAACATATCTCTGCTGGTCTCTCCCCTCCTCTTTATCTTCCTCATCCTCTTCCTCACCTGCAGCCCCAGCCGAACTCTCTTGGTGACCGCTGTCTCAGGGAAGATGGCCTGGACATGAGGGACCAGGTTACTGGTCAGCTGACCTCCCTCTGGGCCAATTAGGTCGCTCTCCTGCTGGACGCGGGACACCACAGCGAAGTAGAGGGGGAAGTCAGTGGAGATGATACGGCGGATTCTCTTCTTCTCCAACTCCTCGTGACTCTCTAGGTCTGAGGGAGGGGCGGCAGAGAGAGGGGCGTATGGATTAGGTTTGTGCATTAAGTATGTTTTTGTGTGTATAACGTTGTTGTTCAAATTATATACTGTAGACTACTTAAATGTGTGTTACATGTGCATGGCCTGTCCTTAGATAGACAGGATAGTGCATGAAGATGCAGCTGGCTTTGCTGTAGGGGGATTACATTTATCATTGTTACACTGACCTTCATCCATGCCATTCAAAATGGTCTCCAGCACCTCGTCGTCATAGCGATTACGATGCTCCTTCCAGACAGAGCCGTTCTCACTACGCAGAACCACCAGCTCCCGGTCCCCTCGACCCAGAGCAGCAAAGTGGGGAATCTCCACTATCACTGGCCTATAGAGACATTACCTCTACATTAACATTCTATTCTATATACTATTCAGGGCTTGACATTAACTTTTTTTGCCACTTGTCCTTTGGAAAAGTAGGACTGATTTGGTCTGTAACACCATTTTTACATCATTGTATGATGCAAGGAACCACTATACTAAATAAAATGCATTACTATCTTTTTTACCATAGAGAATCAGACAAAAATGTAGGCTACACTCTGCCTATTGGCTTCTTTGCATATTCAAGCCTGTCTCAAAATACAACACTGCCCCTTTAAGGCTCTCCTGGAGGATGGTTGGCCACCCTTGATAGCCTATAAAATTACAGTTACAACCAAATGTGACCCGTTACAGGAAGCTAGGCGTATGCCGCACGTCACTACTTCACAGGAGAGGCATTTTAACGTTTTTTTTTTTTGTCAGAAATGCCCTCTGGAACATGTGAACGTTCATGTGCCTTAATAACAAACTTGTATGCCACCTGTAAATACGAATACAATTGTTAAATTACGAGCCTAGTTGGTTTAGCCACGGAAAAAGATAGGAACCTTCCCGCTAGCCATGATTGGCTGAGATAATGGATGGGCTGGACATGCCGAGAGATGAGATTGGATTGGTCTGCCATGTAGCATGCTTCTGTCTATAACATGAGCTGCTCAATATGTGTAGATAATCCTTGCTACCGCAGCTTTTTTGAAAGATAAAACTATAAAAGTGTTGCTACTGCTCTCAACAACATTGCGGCCCTGAATTTAGCAGACGCTATTGACAAAGATCAGTGGGAAAAAGTTGTGACTACTTTCTGCACACGGTCACTGATATGAGGTTTTTATAGTATTATGGGAAAGTAGGTTAGAGTTAGTGGATAAGTGGCTTGGTGCCACAGAGTCTGCATTCCTTATGTCAAAGGAGATTACTGATGTTGATCTTAGAATGAGTAATGGACAGGATATACTGACTTGGGGGTAAAGAGTAATAACATCAGAGAAGGGAGTGCCCACTGATGGGTACCAGATGTTCGTGAAGAAACGTGTAACAGAGTGTATATATAGAGAGAGTGGCTCTTTGTTCTGGAAGATGGCAGAGGCAGGGCTATGTCCTTCTTCTGTTATAACGAACCATGGTACTATATTAAATATCTTATATGAACTCCCCAGCTAAGTGTTAAATGTCCTAACATTCTTAATTACTTGATACCCTAGAAGCTCATCATAACAGTCACTTTGAATCGGAGTGATTTGACACAACACGGGCCAAACAAGCTGTACAAACAAAACGGAGTTAAAGGGGTTCCAGTCTGCCGTGGAGCGTTCATCCATGTATACGGGTAAGAGTCTAGCTATATTTTCAGATATTATATGTTTCTAATTTTGTCAGAAAGTTGTTTTCATTGCAAGTTAAAGTGTACTGTTAGCTAGCTAGAGAACATTAGCTTGCTGGCTCGCTAGCTAACGTTACGTGTATGATCTGTGTAGTAATATTATTTGTATCTCAGAAAACCATTTGTATTGCTAATTATAGTCTAATGTTAGGTAGCTAGCTAACATTGAACCTAGTTGGTTAGCTTTAGCTACCTACAGATTCATACTACAGCATTTCATGCATGGTGGCTAGCTATGACAATCACTTTGTATTGCTAGTAGTATGGGTTGGGATTATGGTTAATTGTTTAGCTAGCTAGCTAGCTAGCTACATGTCTAAACAAAAGACTCCAATTCACCAGATGATTATATGAACCATCAAGTTAGCCAGGTGTGTTTGGGTGTGATTACGGCCATCTATTTTATTTCATGAACATAAACTCAGCAAAAAAAGAAACGTCACTTTTTCAGGACCCTGTCTTTCAAAGATAATTCATAAAATTCAAAATAACTTCACAAATCTTCATTGTAAAGGGTTTAAACACTGTTCAATGAACCTTAAACAATTAATGAACATGCACCTGTGGAACGGTCGTTAAGACACTAACAGCTTACAGACGGTAGGCAATTAAGGTCACAGTTATGAAAACTTAGGACACTAAAGAGGCCTTTCTACTGCCTCTGAAAAACACCAAAAAAAAGATGCCCAGGATCCCTGCTCATCTGCGTGAACGTGCCTTAGGCATGCTGCAAGGAGGCATGAGGACTACAGATGTGGCCAGGGCAATAAATTGCAATGTCCGTACTGTGAGACGCCTAAGACAGCGCTACAGGGCGACAGGACGGACAGCTGATCGCCCTCGCAGTGGCAGACCACGTGTAACAACACCTGCACAGGATCGGTACATCCGAACATCACACCTGCGGGACAGGTACAGGATGGCAACAACTGCCCGAGTTACACCAGGAATGCACAATCCCTCCATCAGCACTCAGACTGTCCGCAATAGGCTGAGAGAGGCTGGACTGAGGGCTTGTAGGCCTGTTGTAAGGCAGGTCCTCACCAGACATCACCGGCAACAACGTCGCCTATGGGCACAAACCCACCGTCGCTGGACCAGACAGGACTGGCAAAAAGTGCTCTTCACTGACGAGTCGCGGTTTTGTCTCACCAGGGGTGATGGTCGGATTCGCGTTTATCGTCGAAGGAATGAGCGTTACACCGAGGCCTGTACTCTGGAGCGGGATCGATTTGGAGGTGGAGGGTCCATCATGGTCTGGGGCGGTGTGTCACAGCATCATCGGACTGAGCTTGTTGTCATTGCAGGCAATCTCAACGCTGTGCGTTACAAGGAAGACATCCTCCTCCCTAATGTGGTACCCTTCCTGCAGGCTCATCCTGACATGACCCTCCAGCATGACAATGCCACCAGCCATACTGCTCGTTCTGTGCGTGATTTCCTGCAAGACAGGAATGTCAGTGTTATGCCATGGCCAGCGAAGAGCCCAGATCTCAATCCCATTGAGCACGTCTGGGACCTGTTGGATCTCACAGCAAGAACTAGCAAATGTGGTGCAGTGCATGAAGAGGAGATGCACTGCAGTACTTAATGCAGCTGGTGGCCACACCAGATACTGACTGTTACTTTTGATTTTGACCCCCCCCTTTGTTCAGGGACACATTATTCAATTTCTGTTAGTCACATGTCTGTGGAACTTTTTTGTCTCAGTTGTTGAATCTTGTTATGTTCATACAAATATTTACACATGTTAAGTTTGCTGAAAATAAACGCAGTTGACAGCGAGAGGACGTTTCTTTCTTTTTTTCAGAGTTTATGTCTAGACGATAGTGACCCATCCACTTAGCTAGATGTGGCTGGGTGGTGGTTATAGCATTTCTTTCACATGACCTATCAATTTAGACAAGTGTGTCTAGGTAAGCATCATCTAATAATTATAAAATATTTATACAATATTCGTATCTGGACATTTTCAATTTTCTATATTGCTACTATGCAATTAACCATTTCACTGTACCGTCTACACCTTCTGTATCCTGTGCATATGACAAATAAACGTATTTGATATAATGTGTGTTTACCAGAGACGGTAATGTCAAGAACAACATGACCTGCACCAAAGTCAGATTAGGATATAGGCCAAGGACTAGATCAAGTGTATTTTTACCTGGAGTTTTTCCATATTGCAGGCTACTACTTTCACCACTTTTAGTCTTGAAATCTTTGGTTGTTTACTGCACTACATTACTCACTCTGTTTAGCACATGGCCTCACATGTGAATACTTAAAGAGATGGGTGGGGCTAAGGCTTAAGAGGGTGTGAACAACGCTGAATATGTGTAGACAAAGAAGAGCTCTCCAGTAGGTGTACCAAAACATTCAAGGGCGTTTTCTCAAAAGTGGAGTTAAAAGTTCATCAACTTTGAAAGCAGAATTTCTTTCCCATTGTTCCTCAACTGCAGTATATGATATACCATTTTGTAGCTCTGAGTCTGTACTTGAATCCAATGTAAAAAACACAATTTCAAATTTTGCAACATAAGACCGAATCGAAGAGGATGGTCACAAATACTTGTTATGTCTTTATAAAATAATTCCCCCCAGGGCTCGAAATTAAGGGCATCCCGTCATCCCTGGGACAATAAAAAAAATATGTATACATTTCAAAGCAGTCTCTGGGACAGTTCTGGGATGACAGATCCAAAATTCATACAACCAATGCACATATATATATATTTTTTAAAGCAATGAGGCTGATGCAACACATCAGACCATTTAGTTTAACATTTTTATTTCTTCAAATTATAAGCTCAACAATGCACACATGGCTGTAGGCGTAAATGTTCCAAAATGCAATTACCGCACACGCGAGCGGTTTCATGTGACAGATGAAAATATCCATTTGAAATTAAGAAAGAGGGGAGACCTAAAGATGCATCAACTAGCATGGGTTACTAGGATTATGAAAGTAAAAGAAAGTTGATTTGAAAACCAATAAAACATTAAACGAATTCTGGTTTCAAAGGCATATTTAGTGTTTATAAAATAATTCCCTCAACATTTCTATTGTCGTATTTTGGCTAGGCTAGGCTACTTTGAAACAAGGTAAGATATGCCTCATAAAACAATTACGTTTATGGTTAAATTGTTTCAAAATGCTGACCGCCTCCACTCAGATTCAAGGTGGGTGATGTGTGGTACATAACAGGCACTGTCCTTCACTCTCCGGTCTTGTGACCATTTGATCTAAATTAACCGTGCCTCGATAATCAAGCCTTTAGACGTTAATTATCCTTCATTATATTTTTAAAACATGACATTAGCCTATATTTATGTAATTAAAAGTCTCATTAAAGTTTGGCTACATTTTCTGGCGCCTCCCTCATGTCAGCATCGGTTTGGACATGAGGCTGTAGCCAATATGCATATCACCTACACTTTGACATGTAGGCTTTTTTATTTATGTATATGAAACATTTATTTGAAAATTATTCCAATGTTTGCCTCTCTGATCCAATTATGATCAGAGTAATTTTTGTGTGATTTTTTTCCCGGAAAAGAGGACAAGCATTAATGTAGAACCCTGCTATTACTATTAGAATCTATTGTGATTATTGCTCCTAAGAAGTCACTATCGCTCTCCACTTGGCAGTGAAATGCAGAACCCGACTGTTCCATCAAATACAGGGCGATTGACAGACATACAAACATATACACATACGCACACATACACGTACATATGCACACATTCGCACACACACAAGCGCACACACTCACATACACTTACCCTAAGAACTGCATACTGGAGGGCCCCAGGGAGATGATACGGCTGGCCAGGCCCTCTCCCTCCACCAGCGGGGGTGGGGTGGTGAGTTTCTGGGGTTTGACCAGACGACAGGTGATACGGGTGGGGGCTGCACAGGTCCGAGGGGGGATGATGACACGCAGCCCATGGTGTCTGCTACCACGCATGGAGCCCCCCCGGGCATCCACCATGAAACTGACCAGGAACCTGAACAGCAACCAATGAGAACCACCATTATTGAGAGAATAACTATCCAACCGTGCATCATTCAACATCATCCTGATCAAACGAAATCACAAAACAGTCATAATGACCTTGTAAAAGGGATGTAATCACATTGAATGGAAGAAATATGAAGTAAGCTGCAGATTCATTATGCTTGTAATGTGTTAGTATTTTGTGTAATAGTGTGTACAGGTCTTGTAGAGGGAGTAAACTGACCCTGTGTGTATGGGGCTGGCCACTGGGCTGACGTTGTCGGAGGTCTCTGTAGCAGGACTGCTGGGGATCAGAGAGTCCTCATCATACTCCTTAGGCAGGGGGACAGGGGTGTGCTGTGGAGACAGAGGGAGGGAGAGAGCGAGAGAGAGAGAGCAACTTTCTAATCATCAGCATTTCCAATTGCGTTTGATGAGATAAATCTACCACCTGTTTCCAATCAAATTAATAAATCCTTTAAACATTACCCCCTCCAGCAGGACGGTCTCAGGTGACACGCATGGGATTCTGGGAATAGCAGGAGAGTATGGCCTACACCAAAAAAGAAAGAAAGAGATAAAACAAGTGAGTGGGCCAAAGAGTAATATGGTGGAAAATAATGTCCCTCACATTTCAGGACATTTCCTCAGATGACTGGACTCTGACGCACAACGTGTTCAGTCCGACCCTGGGGCTGTCACTTACGTGGTGCCCAGTCCACCCTCAAAGTCTCTCAGGGTCTTCTTAGGGGACAGGAAATCATCATCCTGGTCCTTGAGGTCGTCAAGCTTCAGGTAGCGGGCACCATCCATCCCCAGCAACTCATCACCTGCAGAGCACAGAAGGACGTCCGAGAAATGTAGATAGAGAGGGAACAAAAACCAAGGGAGAAGAAAGTACAGAGAAAGAGAGAGAGAGAGAGAGAGAGAGAGAGAGAGAGAGAGAGAGAGAGAGAGAGAGAGAGAGAGAGAGAGAGAAGAAAGAGAGAGAGAGAAAGAAAAGAAAGAGGGAGAGAGAGAGAGAAACAACTCAATAGAAAGTCTACACTGTCATATTAGCCACAATACCACTACCCACTGCTTCCCACCATCCATCCACTACCACATATAGTAACATCGCCAAGCAGTTTCAGATTGATCCAAGCAATGAAGTCAAGCCGACAACAACCAGAGCCAATGGAGACCAATGGAAAAAACAACTGCATGGGACACAGCATGGCACCCGGTTACAGCTTTAGTGCGCATACCCGTTAGAGATTGGATTTCTGTATGGAGGGAATGCCTTGGTTACTGGAAAAGGTTATTATTACTACAAGCCGTTACAGAGGGGTATACACAAAGTCATTGTGTTTTTGCTGTTCCTTGAGTGCTTCTCAGCTGGAGTTAAGCACTGCGGGACTGGATCCCTCAGTGGCAGAATGGTAAAGGAAAATGTCATGACCACATCACATGCCAATAAAACACTGACATTGTTGCTACATTGAGCATAGAAGAAGAGAGAGAGAGAGAGAAAAGAGAGAAAAGAGAGAGGAAGAGAGAGGGAGGAAGGAAGAGAAAGGATAGCAGGAAAGATTAATGAGAAAGTGAGAGGGTTATAAAGAGAGATTGATAGAGAATGAGAAAGTGCTTGCAATGAAGGCACAATTTCACGAGCCACCGGACGACCGAACAAAACAGAGAGACGGACACAGTCCTACCTAATGTTAGCGCCGCAATGCCTACAAAACAAATGGAAAAGGGCATTGTTTAGGCTAGTCATTTAGGTTCAGTCTCATGGCAGTGCTTGACCTTTTTCTCTAGTCTTCGGTCCTCTGCCAACCTGGGCTGACAATCACAACCAAATCACAAGACACAGAAGTACTATTTCTGACAGAAAGCCTTACGAGCTAAGAATAAATGTGTCTCTGGAGTGCACCAACCTACCCTCATCCTCTGAAACGTCCAATATCTCATCCACTGTCTCAGGGAAACTCATCCGATGTTTCTCTGTGGTGATCTGGGAAAAGTCAAGAGAAGGAGAGAGAAATGAGTGCTATTATCTGACATGTTATTGGACTGTAGGTCAGAGTTTCACAGAATACACAAACACACTAGTAACCATGTGAAGCGCTGCTCACCACGGAAACGGCCTCCTCTGTGACCAACTTCAGCACATCAATGACAGAGATGTAACCCAGACGCTTGGCGATGCCCAGAGGAGAAGTCCCATTCTATCACAGAGAACAGAGACAGACAGGAGATACACAGATCAGACACCAGAAGAAGCCTGTAGATGTAAGCATGATGAAGGAGAGTAGAGGAAAGCAAATAAGGGGAAAATGTGAAGAAGAAAAGAAGAGAAAAGGAAAAACAGATCTAGAGGAGAAGGGTGTAATGGAGGGATGAGGAAAAGGAAGAAGGATGTGTTTACAGTGGTGATCTCGTTGGGCTGGGCTCCGTGTTTGAGCAGCAGGGTAACAATGTCAGTATGACCCTGCTGGGCGGCCTGGTGCAGGGGAGTGTAGCCCACCTAGAGAAGGGGGTGGAGAGGGGGAGCATAGAGAGAGAGAGAGAGAGAGAGAGAGAGAGAGAGAGAGAGAGAGTGTCACAGTAAATGCAAGATTGCTGACATAGACAAGGCGTTATTCAATATAAATTCCATGACCAATCTAATGTAATTGGAGTGATGTGAGAGGAGCCTGAAATCGTAAGTGACGTGAGGCAGGGCAGAGCCACACTAACAGAGGCCATGTGTAAGGAGGAGTGTAGCAGCAGCGTCTCACTCTGGTCTTGCTGTTCACATGAGCCTGCTGCTGAAGGAGGAACTTCACCATCTTGATGTTGCCATAGTGACAGGCCACATGAAGCGCTGTGTAGCCCATCTGAAAGAGAGAGCGAGGGAGGGAGAGAGACAGAGAGAAAATAGTGAGAGTTGGCAGTGTTTCAATGGCCTCATTATTACCTCATTATAAACAGCTTGGTGGCTCTGTTGTACCTTGAACAGTCCTGGCAGTAAAATATATTTGAATTTGAGAGTGTGCATGATGTATGAAAGTATTGGATATGGCATGCCATCATAGTGTGTGGTGCATTATGCTGCTTATACTGAACCCCACTCTACTGAATGTAAGACAAGTCTACATTACACTATTCTGTTTTTATACTCTATTATGAGGTGTGTGGTTGATATCATATGCATGCTTTACCCGTGAGCCTGCGTACACTGATGCCCCCTGTTTGACCAGGGTATCTGCTATCCCAACGTGACCTTCCTGGGCCACTAGATGCAGAGGGGTCAGTCCATCTGAGAGAACAGGGTGAACAGGAGCGAATACAGTAGGCTGCTGGTAGTCTGTTCATAACCACGCTCTGCGTCAGTATGAGTCACAGTGGACCGTCCAAATATGACCCCCCAGATGCCTGCTATACTTAAGCAATGAGGCCCAAGGGTGTAGGGTATATGGCCCATACAGTGGGGAAAAAGTTTAGCGCACCATTGTCAATTTCCCCTTAAATGATGAGAGAGGCCTGTATTTCATCATAGCACACGTCAACTATACGAAATGAAATATTTTTCCAGAAATCAGGGATTTATTGCAAATTATGGTAAAATAAGTATTTGGTCACCTAAAACAGCAAGATTTCTAGCTCTCACAGACCTGTAACTTCTTCTTTAAGAGGCTCCTCTGTCCTCCACTCGTTACCTGTATTAATGGCACCTGTTTGAACTTGTAATCAGTATAAAAGACACCTGTCCACAACCTCAAACAGTCACAGTCCAAACTCCACTATGGCCAAGACCAAAGAGCTGTCAAAGGACACCAGAAACAAAATTGTAGACCTGCACCAGGCTGGGAAGACTGAATCTGCAATAGGTAAGCTGCTTGGTTTGAAGAAATCAACTGTGGGAGCAATTATTAGGAAATGGAAGACATACAAGACCACTGATAATCTCCCTCGATCTGGGGCTCCACGCAAGATCTCACCCCGTGGGGTCAAAATGATCACAAGAACGGTGATAAAAAATCCCAGAACCACACGGGGGGACCTAGTGAATGACCTGCAGAGAGCTGGGACCAAAGTAACAAAGCCTACCATCAGTAACACACTACGCCGCCAGGGAGTCAAATCCTGCAGTGCCAGACGTGTCCCCCTGCTTAAGCCAGTACATGTCCAGGCCCGTCTGAAGTTTGCTAGAGTGCATTTGGATGATCCAGAAGAGGATTGGGAGAATGTCATATGGTCAGATGAAACCAAAATATAACTTTTTGGTAAAAACTCAACTCGTCGTGTTTGGAGGACAAAGAATGCTGAGTTGCATCCAAAGAACACCATACCTACTGTGAAGCATGGGGGTGGAAGCATCATGCTTTGGGGCTGTTTTTCTGCAAAAGGACCAGGACGACTGATCCGTGAAAAGGAAAGAATGAATGGGGCCATGTATCGTGAGATTTTGAGTGAAAACCTCCTTCCATCAGCAAGGGCATTGAAGATGAAACGTGGCTGGGTCTTTCAGCATGACAATGATCCCAAACACACCGCCCGGGCAACGAAGGAGTGGCTTCGTAAGAAGCATTTCAAGGTCCTGGTGTGGCCTAGCCAGTCTCCAGATCTCAACCCCATAGAAAATCTTTGGAGGGAGTTGAAAGTCCGTGTTGCCCCGCGACAGCCCCAAAACATCACTGCTCTAAGGAGATCTGCATGGGGGAATGGGCCAAATACCAGCAACAGTGTGTGAAAACCTTTTGAAGACTTACAGAAAACGTTGACCTGTGGGCATTGCCAACAAATGGATATAACAAAATATTGAGAACCCTTTTTTTTTATTGACCAAATACTTATTTTTTCCACCATAATTTGCAAATAATTCATTAAAATCCTACATTGTTGATTTTCTGGATTATCTTTTCTCATTTTGTCTGTCATAGTTGACGTGTACCCATGATGAAAATTACAGGCCCCTCTCAAACTTTTTAAATGGGAGAACTTGCACAATTGGTGGCTGACTAAATACTTTTTTCCCCCACTGTATATCACGGCTAAGGGCTGTTCTTATGCACAAGCAACATGGAGTGCTAGCCCCCACACCCTTAGCCGTGGTATATTGGCCATATATCACAAACCCCTGAGGTGCCTAATTGTTATTATAAGCTGGTTACCAACGTAATTAGAGCAGTAAAAATACATGTTTTCTCATACCCATGGTATACGGTCTGATATACCACGGCTTTCAGCCAATCAGCATTCAGGGCTCAAACCACCCAGTTTATAATAGTAAGTAATTACAGTAACCGGTTTGACACAGTGATAAAAACATCATGCCCTGTGGCCCTCAGCACTTTATCTTACCATAGGTCAATCAAACCCTGTGTAACTAGCTAGCTATCACTGAAAGCTTGCCTCAAACCCTGCTGAGGTCAGAGATTAATTGTTCCTCTCTCTGGTCCAGTACCTTGTTCCCCAGGTTGACGTTGGCCTGTTTGGAGATGAGCAGGGCCACCATGTCCGGCTGGCCCTCCTGGGAGGCCAGGTGGAGGGGCGTGACCCCCTGGAGGGACTCAGCGTTGGCATAGGCTCCGTACTGCAGCAGGCAGCCGGCCACCTCCACCTGGTTCTGCTTGGCTGCAATGTGCAGGGGAGTGTAGCCATTCTATAGACAGACACAGGGAGTCAGCAGGGGCAATACACTTGATCATCAATGGGTGGGTCATATTTATCATACTGTACAATGATCCTGAAAGGGGGGGATATACAGTATAGTACTACGTGTGGTGTGTGTTACATCGTTCTGCTTACCCAGGCAGTGCTGTGTGCATTGCCTCCCTTGCTGACCAGCAGCTTGACCACGTCCAGGTTGTTGTGATGGACGGCCACGTGTAGAGGAGTCAGGCCGTTCTGCTTGGGGACACACACACACACACCTACTGTCACTAGCTATCGAAACAACAGAATATCAGCCTGCCTTTGTGGGCGCATAAAGTTTCTAAAACGGTGGGACACACTGATTCCTTTTGGGCTGTGATTAAAGACGGTCAGTGTTAAGAATATTAGGTTTATTTGTTACTTGGGTCACAGGAAAGTTCTATAAGCTTTAGGTGGGTCACAGCACTGAGAAGTATGCCTAACACTGATAAAAAGCACAGGACAGTCCATGCTGTGTTGCAGTGTGTTCTTCATACCTTTCCAGCCGCATTGGGGTTGGCTCCTCTCTCCAGCAGCAGCTCGACCACGTCCACCTTGCCATACTTACAGGCCACATGGAGAGGAGTGAAGCCTTTCTGCTTGGACACACAAACACAGATTCAGCATGAGCAGAAGAACTAAAAGAGGTCAGGTGTGAAAGGATTAGGAGTGAGATTGAATGAGCTTGAGAGAGAAAAAGGGGTTAGAGAGAATGAGAAAGCGAGAGAGTGAGAGAGACAGAGAGAGAGAGAGAGAGAGACAGAGAGATGAGAACAGAGAAGAGAGAGAGAGAGCGAGAGAGAACAGAGAGAGAGAGAGAGAGATGAGAGAGAGAGAAGAGGAGAGAGAGGAGAGAGAGAGAGTAGGAGTAGAGAGAGAGAGAAGAGAGAGATGAGAGACAGAGAGAGAGAGAGAGAGAGATGAGAGACAGAGCACAGAGAGAGAGAGATGACGAGAGAGAGAGAGACAGAAGAGAAGAGTGAAGAACGCAGAATAGAGAGACAGAGCTCGAGAGTAGTTGGGACAGACCCCAGAGGAGATGAGGAGAGGAGTGTACCAGAAGAGAGGACGAGAGAGAGAGAGTGAGGAAGAAAGACAGTCAGAAATTAAGAGAACCTTTGTCATCTGGTTGTTGCGCCCCTGTCCACGAGATGCGGGTGTAGGGCGCTGTCCCTCGCGGGCGGCGATGGTAAGGGGTGTGGCCAGGTGGTACGATCGGGAATTGCTTTGTGCTCCAAGAGCATCTGTGACACTCCTTATGTCCCATCGAGCTGCACAGGAGCAGAGGGGTCTGGTCATCTAGAGAGACAGGGATGGAGAGAAAGAGTGAGAGTAAGGAGAAACAGAGGTTGGAATGATATACGTGTAGACAATTGTATTTAGCGAGCAGTAACAGTGAGGTATTTGTGCAGTATATGCTGTTGTAGATGGTAGCTGAAGAAAAACAAGATGTGGTGGTGGTTTTGAATGTGTATTCCACCCAGGACAGAGTTTGTTTTAAAACATTATGATGTATATACAGTAGATGTGTACAGTATGTATGGTTGTATGACAGTGTGTACAGTACCTTAGCCTTGGCATCCACCTGTGCTGTGTTCTGCAACAGGAACAGTGCCACCTCACAGTGGCCTGCCCTGGACGCCATGTGGAGGGGCGTCTCCACTTTCTGTTACACAAACACAGGTCAGAGGTCACATAGCCTGTCACAACCACCCTGCCATTAAATACATGACTATGCTATGTAATATCGATAATACACATTGACTAAAATATCACTTTATACACACAGAGAACAGGCCTTAGTCAAAATTACTATTAATGCATGGACCAGATACCAATCCATCTACCATAACCTTTGCCGGTGTTCATTTCAACATTTCAACATAAGAATAAGTTAAGTTACTACTAGGGCTGTCAAACAATTAAAAAAATGAATTACGATTAATCGCATTCAATTCTGTAGTTAATCGCGATTAATCGCAACATTTTTATTTGCTCAGATTTGGTGCTAAATAAACATTTGTTTCATTTCAAATAAAGCAGTGTATTGAGTTTTAGGCATGTAGGGACTAAAACACAACACATATTCTGTATCAGAATGTTTTTAATGGCAAATTCACCATAAACAAGTTAAGCAATACAAAAGTCCTGTAACTTACTAATGCTCCCTCATACATTCTCTCTCTCACACACACACACACAGTTAAAGCTTCAGCCATTCCAAATGATTGTTCTCCCAATTACTGATTGGAGGGTTGGCTATAAGAAAAAAACACTGGCTCTATGGATACAAATAGCATAAACCTGTCCAATAATGTCAGGAATTCAACAGAACATACACCTGTGACCATACACTTCAGTCGTCCTCCTATTTCTTTTCACTGAGCCAGTTGCAAAGACAAACAAGCCTGTTGACATTTTCAGATGATAAAGCTGCTCTCTCTTCTGTACGATATGCCCAGAGAGTGAAAACAACCTCTCACAAGGTACTGATGTGGCAGGCGTTGCCATGTACCTTTGTGCAATGCAGGCCAGCCTGGTGTGTGCCCCTGCATGCTGTGACCACCACTGTAGTGGACAGTCCTCCATGTTGATGCTGGGCTCTGCTTTGTAACGCTCCACACATTTCTCAATGGACTCCTCCTCTTCATCAGAGTCAGACTCAGAAGAACTCAACAAAAGGGCAGCTTTCTTCTTTGGTGGCTCTGACTGTTGCTTTATCAGGTCGCTGTGCAGGCCTCTCTTCCTTCAGCAAGTTGCTGACCAAAGCCCACACCTCACCCCTCTCATGTCTGGCAAGGCACTTCAGGTCCTTAAACCTTGGGTTGAGTGCTGTGGTGATCTTCAGCCATGTGAGGTTGGTGTTTTCCTTGCGTTTCTCCAGGTCTGTTGTGAATGTCAGCTTGAATCTTACCATTTAGGCAGGGTCATCATCGGAGCTCTCCATCACCCAAAGGAGATGACACAAAGCAGGCAACACCACTGAGCAGGAAATAAACTTCTCTCCTCCCAGAAGTTCAGTCAAGTACCTGCAGTGAAATAATATTTAAAATCACTTCAGTCAATTGTGAGAGAGTTGTTAGACACAGGCTCTCTCTCTCTCTCTCTCTCTCTCTACACACACTCTCGCTCCCACACACACACACACTCTCTCTCACACAGACACTTTACACACTAGCTCTCTCACACATACACCCGCACGCACACACACACACACACATAATCGTATTACAACACTAATAATGAGATAAAGAATATTACCTGCAGGGCTCCAGTAGTGCCTCCAGTTCAGCTGTGGTTGGCATGGTGATGTTAGTTTTATGTTGGGCCAGAGCATCTCTCAGTGGTTGTTGGTTTCTGTGGACACGCTTTACCATTTCCAGAGTAGAATTCCATCTTGTTGTGACATCTTGTGTGAGTGACTCCTTCTTTTGCCCATTTGCAACTTGCTGTTGTCCTAGCTCTGCAGCGTTTGGTGGGCTTTGTTTAAAATGCCCCCCCAAAATTTGGCATTTGGCTTGGGCATTGTCGAACCGCTGTTCTGTAGGGACACTGTGATGGACCTTTGGAGACTGTGCGCGGTGCAGGGCAGGTGTTCAAAAGGCAGATGTCTCGCAGCTGCAATCATGTTCCGTGCACTGTCTGTGTAAACTGTGGTAACTTTGTTTTCAATGTTCCACTGCTTTGCTAGATCCATGAAATGCCCAGCGCACATTTCAGCATAGTGTCTCTCTTCTGTCTTCATTACGGCCAGAGCCTGTGAATGCAGTTTCCAGTTTTCATCGATGTGGTGCGCAGTAACCCCAAGGTAGTTGTGGTTACTGACCGAAGTCCAGTAGTTTCAAGCAACACCGGTTTCATGTTTCAACTCCTCCGCTTTCGTAGCCCTCGCTTTCATACAGCTTGTGTATTCTTGTAACGACTGTGGCTCTCGAGGGTAACTCATACGTTAAGACGTTCGATGCTATCCGAATGATATCCCTCAAGCCTTTGTCCTCCACAATGTGGACTGGCCTGCAAGCTGTAGCTATCCACTTGGCGATTGCTTGTGTTAGCTTGCTGCTCGTCGACATGTCCATAGGCCTCCTGCGCGCACACTCTTCTAGCTTAGCCTGCCGAAGATGTCCTCCATTGCTACTAGTAACGTTACTTGTATTGCCGGCGTCATGTCACGCCCTGACATAGAGTTGGCTAGTTGGTGAGTCAGGGTGTGAATATCTATGTGTGGGAATTTCTATGTGGACATTCTATGTGAGTGTATTTCTATGTTGGCCGGGTGTGGTTCCCAATCAGAGGCAGCTGTCGATCGTTGTCTCTGATTGGGGATCATACTTAGGTAGCCATGTTGCCTACCTTAGTTGTGGGATCTTGTTTGTGTCCTGGTTTGGCTTGTTGTGAGTATAGCCAATAGGACTTCACGTTACGTTGCTTTTGTTGTTTTGTCAAGTGTTTATCTTCATTAATAAATATGTATGCATACCACGCTGCACCTTGGTCTGACCCGTCTCTCAACGATCGTGACACGTCAACAGTATGTAATGACCTGACTAGATCATAAAAGAAAAACGTCAGACAGAGGATTGAGTTACGAATGGACGGTTTAATTAAACCAACTTTACACAGTACTGTTTGGCGTAGCCACGCCAAAAAGAAGATAACCCCAGCCAATCGTGACCTTTCTGTGAAGCCCAACGTAAAGAGGGACATAAAACCTGTCTTAACTTCCAATGCTCCAGCCCCCTGCCCACCCCCTCCACGACTCCGCCAACGCAGGATGCCGGCATCAGAACACAGGCATTCCCTTGATGCAGATAGCAGGTGATTGCACGGTGGGTATGGTAGGTACAACACAACCATCTACTACAACACATAACACCAGCTGTTTGTGCGGGTCGCTACACGCCCCCCACCACAAAGTCCCTCATCCCGAGGGACAAACAAAGTCTGAAGCGACCGGAGGTTCCATTGCACGCGTGGCGTGTGACGCAGAGTACCCTCTGAAACGGGATGAAGGCAAGACATGGGGGACAAGGAAGCGGGAACGGGTAATACAGTCGGGCTCTGGGGACCACGCGTGAAACAGGGGAGTGGCTGTCTGGAGCCTGTGAGACCTGGGGTGGGTGCCTGGAGAATGTCATGCCAGAGGGAATTGTGGGGTTCCTGGGGTTTGGGGAGAAGAGCCCTCTATATGGGGCTACTGTCCCGCGTACCTTTCTCCCCGGAAAGCTGCACCCGGTAACAACCTTCCCTCTCCAGGACCTGCAGGTCCCAACAGTGACTGCCATTGGGGCCTGCCCTTTTTCCTAGGGGCTGTAGACCCAGACCACTCCCCAGCACAAGTGCCTCCCGGTGTGCACGTCATAGTTCCCTTCTGCCTCACACCTGCATCAGCAGCTGTCTCTGCGAGGTGTGGGGTCTCAGGCGGTGGAGTCTCCGGCAATCAGAACATAGGGCTCCAGGGGCGACCAAACGCATTCCGCAGGGTACGGATCTCTCCCCAGCATGGGAGGGCAGCGTGCATAGCAAGGTGGATTGACATGCGGTCGACCCTGCGAAACAGCTGGGTGGTATGGAGGTACACATGGTGCGAACACACATCTTCTTAGGACTAGCTCACAACACATAACAACAGTCGTCTGTGCGGGTTCCTGTCTGCACAGCGGCGGCAAACGTCCTCCAACATCCCTCTTGTGCGCCCCCGTAAAGCCCTACGGAGGCGGCGCAGTGTTTTTGTGACCCCAAAGTGTCCAGTCCCCACCCCCCCATGAGTACTCTGGAGCACAGCCTCCCGCAATGCTTTTGGGACCACCACCTGCCACCTTTCCTCCCCCGTAGCTGACTCCTTCCATGCCCGCTGTAACACGCCATCAGCCAGCCGCAGTCGCTCAAACTTTGACCACAACCCTTTGGTCGCGAGTGAGAGCGCTGTCACCTCTTCCCATGGTGGCCTCACCTGCGCCTCTACCCACTGTAGCACTGGCTGTAGGTCTGTGTCCCGTCCCTGCTGCTGCCCCCATCCAGCCACGTCGACAGTCTGCAGCTCACAGCAGACAGGCCCGCTCGCCCGACACACTGTGGCACAGACCCCCTCCTCTGCACACAGCTCTCTCTCCCGTCCCTCTCTCCGTTCACAGTGGCGGCAGCCGTCTGCAGTACAGGGCCGACGGGACATGGCGTCGGCATTGGAGTGGCGTGCCCCTGCCCTGTGCACCACCGTGAAGTCATACGGCTGAAGCTCCTCCAACCAGCGTGCCACCTGCCCCTCTGGCTCTCTGAAAGACATGAGCCACTGGAGAGCAGAGTGGTCAGTCCTTACAGTAAAGGGCAGACCACCCAGGTAGTACTTGAAGTGTTTGACGGAAGCCACAACAGCCAAGAGCTCCCGCCGGGTGACACAGTAGCGGCGCTCATGTTTGTCAAATGTTTTGCTGAAGTACGCCACCGCTCTCTCCCCCTCTGGCCCCACCTGGGCCAGCACCCCACCCATGCCCACATTGCTCGCGTCTGTGTCCAGGATAAAGGGCAATGTGAGGTCAGGGGGGGCGAGCACGGGGGCCTCGATCAGTGCACGTTTGAGGGTGTTGAACGCCTCCTCACACTCCACTGTCCAAGTGAAAGCCTTGTCCTTCGGCAGCAGGCGGTTCAGTGGAGCAGTAACGCTTGAGAAGCCCCGTACAAACCTCCTGTAGTACGAGGCCAGGCCCAGGAAGCTCTTCAGCTGACGCTGGTCGGTGGGGGTGGGCCAGTCTCTGACAGCCGCTACCTTGTCCTCCATGGTGCTGATCCCCTCCTTCCCCACTCGGTGGCCCAAGAAGGACACCTCTCTCCTCATGAAGTGGCACTTCTCGGGGTGGAGCTTCAGACCTGCGGCAGCCACCCTCTCCAGCACACACCGTAGCGCCCCCAGGGCTGACTGGAAGGAGCTGCCATGGGCCAGGATGTCATCGAGGTATACCAGACACTGCTGTCGGGGTATGCCATCCAGCACCCTGTCCATCAAACGCTCAAAAGTAGCTGGAGCGTTGCACAGGCCAAAACACAGGACCTTGAACTGCCAGTGTCCTCTGTTAGTGGAGAACGCAGTTTTGGCTCTGGCCTCTGGGGAGAGGGGCACCTGCCAGTAGCCACTGCGGAGGTCTAGTGAGGAGAACCAGGAGGACCCCCTAACCAGGTCCAGCGACTCATCGATACGTGGTATGGGGTATGAGTCCTTCCTGGTTACCTCATTCAGCCGCCTGTAGTCCGCACAGAACCTCAGCTTGCCCCCCTTCTTCGGAACCATGACGACTGGCGCCGCCCAGGGGCTGTCTGAGGGCTCAATGAAGTCTGCCCGCTGCATCTCCAACACAGCCTTGTCTGCCGCCTCCTGGCGTGCCAGCGGGATACGGCGGGGACGCATCTTGATAGGTCGAGCATCACCTGTGTCGATCTCATGCTGCACCAGATGAGTCTGACCCACCTCTTCCTTACTCAGCGCAAAGCTGTCTCTGAATTCAAACAGCAACTGCCTCAACCGTTCCTGCTGCTCGGGGTCAAGACCAACACAGTTCCTCCCCCATATCTCTCTCACTGCAGACAGTGTCCTCTCCCCTCCCATCTGGGGTAGCTGGGCTGGGGGGGCGCGGCCCGGGCTCACAGAGGGCTGTGTCGTGGAGGTAGCTGGGGGAATGTAACACAACGCCGTAGGTGACAGGGGAGCTGGGGAAAAGTCACACCCAGATGTGGGGGACGGGGGGCAGCCATGAGTCTCTGCTGCTTTAACTGTTGGAGTAAAGGGTTTGTTGGGTTGAGTGAATGTGACATTAGGGGCCATGGTGACCTCCGGCCCTCCCTGGAAGCTCAGTGTGCCCCTATTTAGGTCTAACTGGCAGCCTGTGCTCCTAAGAAAGTCCAACCCCAGGATACAAGGGTCCTGCACAGCCGCCACCCACACAGGATGACGCACAGTCCTGCCCCCTACTGTCAGAGTCATTATTCCCTTCCCTTTCATGGGTGCCAGCTCACCTGTGACTGTGCGGAGCTGCACAGTTGTAGGCTCACACTGAGTCCAACCTGGCACAATATCTGGCCTCACCAGGGTTACTGTGGACCCAGTGTCCACCAGGGCGGAGCAGGGCACCCCCTCCACAGTGACAGGGACATGACAAAAGTCCCCAACACAGGTCCGGCCCACCACAACAACAGGCTCCATCCGCTTGCCCTCGTCTGCTTCTGGGGGAAGTGGAGCCTTGCTTCCCCGTCTGTGCCGGTGGGCTCCTCCTGAAGAAGATGGTGGTTGGGATAGAAAGCCAGGGGTCCGCACTACCCGGTCTATGCGGACCCCGAGCCGTTTCCCTGAGCTCTGGGGGACATGGGGCAATCTCGGCGCAGATGGCCTGGCTGGCCACAACCCCAGCAGACCCTGGGACCAGGGCGTGTGTTTCGTGCCGCCTGTAGCGACACAGCACAAATGAGTTCTGTCATTTCAGCAACCCATGCAGGCTTTTCCGGCTCCGGGCTGCTCTGCCCCCCAGCTCGCACAGAGGGTCTGTCTCCCTGCACCCCCACCAAAGCCCCAGCTGAAGCCCCAGCCCACACCAGCTCCCTCTCCAAAGCCATCTCCAAGGCTACCTGCAATGACTCAGGATGAGCCAGCTGGGTCTGTATGCGCAGCTCCGTAGGAGAGAGCGCCTGTATGAACTGGTCCCGTGCTAGCTCGCTCTGCACGGAGGGGGGCATGTGAGCATATGCCCGCCGAGAGAGGCTCTCAATGTCATTAGCTAGCACCCGTAGAGGCTCTCCAGGCTGCCTGCGTCTATTACTCAGTTCGGAGCGCAGTAGCCCGGGCTGTACACACTGTCCATAGCGCCTCCTCAGTGCTCCCACTAAAGCACCATAATCACGTCTGTCCTCGGGGCTAATCAATATCAAACAGGCCAGAGCTTCATCAGTGAGGCATAAAGCCAACTGCAGTGCCCTATCTTCATCCGACCACCCCCTAAAATGAGCTAACAGTTCAAACTGAGCATGAAAAGCTTCCCAATCCGCCTTACCGGAATACTTCGGGGTCTTAACAGATACGGACGCAGCCGGGAACTGGGCGCCGCCATGTTTGTTTACATCCTGAGCCCCAGATTCTTCGTCCCGCCGCGTCGACGTCACCCCTTCGGTCCGCCCACCAGAATCCGCGCGAAACACAGTCGACGAAGCACTCATGCCCGCTTCAGCCGCCATCACTCTAACGTCCTCCCTCAAGCGGCCTCTGGGCTCCGATGCCCTGGCGATCTCCTCAGCCAGAACCCCCGACGTCCATGCACACGCACCTCCTTGGCCATAATCGTCCCCTACCTCCACCTTCACTTTCGGAATCCCTCGTAGCATCTTCAATCCCCATTCTCACCTACGGTAGCTAGCCACAGAAGTCAGCTAGCTAGCTGGCTAACTTTTATCAACGTTTTTACTTCTGACACCAATGTAATGACCTGACTAGATCATAAAAGAACAACTGTCCAGACAGAGGATTGAGTTTACGAATGGACGGTTTATTAAACCAACTTTACACAGGCTACTGTTTGGCCGTAGCCCACGCCAAATAAATGAAAGATAACCCACAAGCCAATCGTGACCTTCTCTTGTGAAGCCCAGACGTAAAGAGAGAGAACAAAGGCTAAACCTGGTCTTAACTTCCAATGCTCCATCCCCCTGCCCAACCCCCCTCCACGCCACTCCGCCAACCGCCAGGATGCCCGGCATCAGAACTTTCCAGGCATTCCCGTGATTGGCAGATAGCAGGTTGATTGACATGTCGGACCCCGCGAACACTGGGTACTGGTAGGTACAACACAACCATCTACTAGCCTAACACATAACACACAGCTGTCTGTGCGGGTCGCTACAGTATGTTTCACTTGTAAGTGATAGCGAAGACTCGATGTACTTCGGTGATAAACAAATTCAGCCTTGCAGTAGATGCAAATTACTTTGGTTTTATCCAGAGAGCCATCTGGGAGTGATTTGAAATTGAATTTGCCATTTAAAAGCCCCTTACTAGCATTCTCCATCATTCATTCATACACGTAGCTAGCTAGTAAAGTGGTTGAAAAACTAGGGCATCCTCTGCCAGGGCTTGAATTTGAAATATGGATAGTTCAGGGGGTCAAACTAAGTAAATCCGTTAATGGTGTTAAAAAAATGTACGCCATAACAAATTTAAGCATTAATGCGTTATTAACGCGTTAACTTTGACAGCCCTAGTTACTACTAGTCAATCAGAGTGTGATGGAAATTTCACCCGTCAAGAATAAAGGTTATAAAGGGGGGTCTCTCACCACATTGGAGGCATTGGGAGAAGCTCCTCTATGGAGCAGGTTCTTCACAATGTTAAGGTGCCCCATGAAGGCTGCTACATGAAGGGGGGTCAGACCAGACTAATGGGAGAGAGACACAGGGGGCATGTGAAGAGAGAGAAGGGTTAAGGGTTAATGTTTTATAATATTCCATCTCAATTAGGCTTACATTTACACTTTCAAATCTTTTGTAATGACACAATGGACACCCAACAATTGCAACAATAACAAAAAGTACAGCTTGTCCTGAGAACCCCATTAAGTCCCATTGCTCTTCAAAAGAGTGTTATCTCACCTCTGTGACGGCCTCCAGGGAGGCAGAGTGTTTCAGCAGCAGGTCCATGGAGCGCATGTGGTTCTTCTTACAGGCAATGTGGAGGGGAGTGAACCCATTCTGAACACAATAGGAACATAGTCCGAAAATTTAGTTGGGTTTAGTATGCACAAAATGGGAGAAAGCATTCAGATATGGTACTGCCTGAACTTGTCCGATAACAACGCTCGTTCATATTTCATAATCTTTTCTACTCTTTGTGCCTACTGTACGCAACCCAGTTCTAAAAGCTCAGTAAACCTGACCAATGGACAGCTACAGTACACCTCACACACTAAGCACCAGTATACAGAAATAGAAGTATACACTTAGAAGAGCTGCTGACCAAGGCACGTGCATTGGCCTTGGCCCCCTTGTCCAGCAGCACTTTGGCCATGCGGTGGTGACCACAGTGGGCCGCCACGTGTAGAGGGGTCAGGTGGTCCAGCGTGATGTCATCAATCTCAGCGTTGTACTGGAGAAGCTGCCTCACACAGTCCATATGATCTCCCTGGGCCGCCATGTGGATGGGGGACAGGCCATTCTGGAGGGGAGAGAGGGAGGATAGGGAGATAGGAAAGAAAGATATAAAGGGAATGAAAGAGAAACAGAGAGAAGAGCAGTGTAAGACCTTTGAGAGGAGAAAGCATCTATAAATTCATAATACTGAAATAAGTGACTCATCAGCTTAGTTGGCAGAGGATCATTTGGCATTGGTTACTTCTGAAATTGCAAGTGAGTGTGATTACGTGCCAAAGTGGCCTTAAGGTTGTGATATTGTGCCAAAGTGGCCATAAAGTATGGCCCTTTATCTTCCACAGAGTGGGCCACGAGAGGCCTCTGGCTGACCTTGGTCTTGGCCTGGATGGGAGCCCCCTGGTCCAGCAGGAGATCGATGATCCTCACATGACCGTTCCTGGCCGCACAGTGCAGAGGGGTCAGCTCATCCTAAATAGATGGAAGGAGCCAGGTAGGGTCAAAAAGCTTTCAAGTCAAATGGCAGAAAGAGGAGGAGGAGAAAGTGTAGGGTTACAGTACCTTGGTCATGGCATCTATCTGGGCCCCTCTGTCCAGCAAAAGTCGAACCATGATCGCATTACCCCTCCTGGAGGCTATGTGCAGAGGGGTGATACCATTCTGAGAGAGGGGGAAGAACAATTTCTAAATCAATTTAATCAAAGACTCTCCTGTTAGAAAATGGGGTCTTTGAGGGACTATGTTACCGATGTCATGGTTAAGGCAGATAAGTACAGTAGCGGTGAGGGTTAATGGACTGACCTTGGGTGTAAAGTTGACATTGGCTCCTCTGTTTATTAGCAGTTGGGCCACACTCAGGTTTTCATAGTGAGCCGCAATGTGGAGAGGAGTGAAGCCAGTCTACAGACAGACAAAGATAGAGGGAGAGAATCAGAGAGGCAGAGTGAGAAACAGAGAGATAGAAAGAAAGAGAGAGATAAATAGACAGAAAGAGACAGAGAGAGAGCGAGAGAGATAAAAACAAATCTTATTATCATAATCCATGTTTGCAGGCAGCTTTTGTTGGCAGCTTTTTTGTTTATTCATGTAATCACTTTTGTTGCTATTGTTTTTCTGCAAGTCAACACAACAGTGTTATGACTGATGACTTCAGCTAACGACATCAGCATTTTAAGGCTTAATGAGTCATCACAGTCACACACACACAGTGAGTAGTACCTTGCTGAGGACGTCGGGGTTAGGGTCGTTCTGCAGCAGCACTGCAGCAGTGCGTGTGTCGTCGTTGCGTGCAGCGATGTGCAGGGCGGGCAGACGGACCTTGCCCTTTGTGCCGTAGTTGATGAGCAGGGCCACCACGTTCTCATGACCCTGCTGAAGAGCCACAGCCAGCGGCGTGAACCCATCCTGACAGACAGGGTGAGAGAGGGGGAGGGAGAAGAAGGGATAGAGGGAGGGGTGGCCCGGGTAAAAAGGAGGAAAGGGGGAGAGGGAAGGTCAGAGGGAGAGGTGGCAATAAGGTAAGAAGGGGGAAAGTGGAGGAGGGGAGGGAGAAGAAGGTATGGAAGGTCAACGAGAGAGGGCAAGGGAGTGGAGGAAAAGAGGGAGGGGATGAAAGGAGATACAAGCCAAATGATAATGGAGGGGGTGAGAGAAGGGTAAGTAGAGGAAGAGAGAGAGAAAGAAAATGAAGATGGGGCAAATTTGAGACAATGTAAATTGAGATGACTGTAATAGAAAGATGAGAGAAAGTGAATGTAGCATTGTCTATTGGAATGAATCCAATACACATCTGAGAAACAACTAGATGTCTGTTTGCTCTGAGGGCTTTCGCTCACCTCTGTTGGAAGGCTCTGATTGGCTCCGTTCTCTAGCAGGAACTTGACTACATCTAAGTGGTTCTCTTGTGCAGCCATGTAGAGGGGACTGAAGCCTTTCTGTAAGGAAGAGGCACATATGGCGCATGGTTACCAGCAACACACATGAACAGACGTACATATACACAACCCCCCCGGTAACGGTAATGTGCAGTATAATGTCCCTGATGACTCACCTGTGACTGGGAATTGACGTTGGCTCCATAGTTGACGAGCTCAGCCACCACTCTCTCCTGGCCTGCCAACGCAGCGATATGGAGGGCAGTGTTCCCTTTCTGGAGGTGACAGACACACATACATAAACACACACATGTTTTCATTAAGGTTAGTGCCACAGTAAACACGGCTGGAGTAGCATGACACAGGAACACAGGGAACAATGTGGTGACATGGTTATGTACACACACACACACACACACACACACACACACACACACACACACACACACACACCACACAGACAGAGGGAGCAGAGAGCAGCCTAATGACCCAAATCTCTATTTAAAAAGCTTCATTAATGATACAGTGCTCAGAAATAATGAGTTATGACTTATTAGATAGATATGTGCTAGACTAAATTAGATATATGTTTACAGGCCAATCAAATGAGGTGAATAAGTCATAAGCATGCGTATAAGCTTATTATACATGTAGTGGATCATGTCTGTAAACAGTCTGTTATATAGCTAGCTGGTGAATATCTCAATCAGAAGTCAGAGGTAGGTCCTATGCAGTGGTCCTCTGTAGCTCAGCTGGTAGAGCACGGCGCTTGTAACGCCAAGGTAGTGGGGTCGAACCCCGGGACCACCCATATACAAAAAAAAAATGTATGCACGCATGACTGTAAGTCGCTTTGGATAAAAGCGTCTGCTAAATGGCATATTATTATTATTATTATTATGCATCTGTGGTATGTGAGTAGAGTCATGGTAAGCAGTGAGCAGTGTGTGAGTAGTACCTTAGTGGTGGTCTCCAGGACAATGCCTGCGTGTAGTAGCCCCAGCACCATCTTGACGTGGCCTTCTTTAGAGGCCAGATGCAAACCGTTGAGCCCATTCTGCAGAGACAGCAGTGGAAATCAGCAGTGACCACACAGAACCATCAGACCAAATCGTCAGCCTACAGAGCGATCTCCAATAGAATCTGTTTGCCTTTTATTCCATCTATAACATGGATTTCCGAGCAGTAGATATACTAAGAATAACAAGCAGAGAAACTCAAAACCCACAGTGGTTACAGAAGCAGCACAAAAATATTTCCAAACATAAACAACCTTAAGACTGTTTCAGTCGGGTCTCAAAAGGAAGCAGACAGCATGGATTTATTTCAGGGCTGTCTGGGTGTACAGCAGTGGAGGCTCCTCAGAGGAGGAAGGGGAGGACCATCCTCCTCAGTGAATTTCATAAAAATATATTTTTTTAAACATTTACAAGGTTATCATTTTTAGATAAAACTATACTAAATATAATCACGTCACCAAATAACTGATTAAAACACACTATTTTGCAAAGAAGGTCTACAGTTGCCTCAACACAGCATGGTGTAGCCGGAGGACAGCTAGCTTCCGTCCTCCTCTGGGTACATTGACTTCAATACAAAACCTAGGAGGCTCATGGTTCTCACCCCCTTCCATAGACTTACACAGTAATTATGACATCCTCCAGCCTATCAGAGATCTTGCAGCATGAACTGACATGTTGTCCACCCAATCAAAGGATCAGATAATTAATCTAGTACTGAAAGCATAAACTACAGCTAGCTAGCACTGCAGTGTATAAAATGTGGTGAGTAGTTGACCCAAAGAGAGAGAAAGACAATAGTTGAATGAAGAATGAAGGAGAAGCAAGAGAGAAATAGAGAGAGAGAGATTGTCTTTTTTTACATTCAATTTCAATTAATTAGCTAGCAAATACAGCTAGCTAGTTTAGCCCACTGAAACACCCTGCTCAAACAGAGGGATGCTATGTTAGCTAGGTGGCTATGACTTTCCAACACAACACTGGAACTCTTCCAAGTCATGGTAAGCTTTTGGTATTACTAATTTATTGCCACCGGGTACACTAACATTACTGCATGATTGTAGCGGGTTTACTAACGCATTAGTTCTATTAGCTATACTGACTATGACATTACTTTAGCTAATATGGAGACAACGATGTAGGCTGTGTGTAGCGGTTTGGCTTGGAAAAGTTTTTTCGCCTGGTGCATTGAAGTCCACAAGCGAAGGGAAGAGAAGGAATACAATGTGGCTGTTATGAGAGTGAACTCTGTTTACGCGTGATCAGGGGTGTATTCATTCCGCCGATTCTGTTGAAAAACGTTTCTTAAATGGAAGCAAACAGAACAAAACGGGGATAAACATACCTGAATTTGTCCAATAGAAACTCTCGTTTGCAACTCTTGGACGAATTATTACACCCTATATCAGCTAGATGCAGGCAAGAGTGTGCAAGGTAGTATTGAATGTCACTGTCTGTCACCTCAAATTTGTCTCTCGACCTGTGTGCACCTATGTTGTAAACTTTCATTCCTAGGCTAGGTTGTAGCAACCTCATGATGGGTATAAGAAAATGTTGAGTATCATGTAGTAGCCTAAACCTATCGCTGTTACATTGAACAGTGTGAATGGAATATGAATGAGTGATAAGGCGCACAATTGGCCCAGCGTCGTCCAGGGTAGTGGAGGGAATGGCCGGCAGGGATGTAGCTCAGTTGATAGAGCATGGCGTTGGCAACGCCAGGGTTGTGGGTTCGATTCCCACGGGGGGCCAGTATAAAAAAATATGTATTAACTAACTGTAAGTCGCTCTGGATAAGAGCGTCTGCTAAATGACTCAAATGTAAATGTAAAAATGATAAGGCCATGGTCATGAAAAAAAAATCGTCCTCCCTCATCTTAAATGGCACCGACCACCACTGGTGTACAGCTGAAGAATCAGACAGACTAACAGTACAGTCTGTGCCTGTCTCTGCTCTGCCTGACTGCAGTACCGTGACTGGCCACAGGGAGACTCTGAAAACCACACTGGTCCCTCCACTGCCCTCATACTGCAGTGTCACTCAATTCACGTGGATAATACACACACGGGGGAGACAAACACACAAGTGTGTGAATCACCATTGCGTTTGTGTGCACTGGCTGGAGTCTGCTGGTTTGTAGATAGGGCAGGGGCAGGTTGGCAGACTGACATATAAAACCCTGAATCATATAACTTTCTGTAGCAGTAGCTCCAACATTTATCATAGCTATATGCTCTACTTCAACCTTAATTTTAACACATTAGAAAACATAGAAAATGTGTATGTTTACATACACAAAAGCTGAAGAACATACGCACATCCAGGTACTTCTCGTAGGCGCTGGAGTTATAGACAAATTCATGAAAAACAGAAAGGAAAACGCTGCACACTGCTGCTCATGCTGGGAGCATGAGCAGCAGTGTGTGGCATTTTCCTTTCTATGTTTACATACACACGTCACATACCCACATACAGTGCATTCGGAAAGTATTCAGACCCCTTGACTTTTTCCACATTTTGTTATGTTACAGCCTTATTCTAAAATGGATTGTTTTTATCCCTCATCAATCTACACACAATACCCCATAATGACAAAGCAAATTGTTGAAAATTTATAAAAAATGTAAAACATAAATATCACATTTACATAAGTATTCAGACCCTTTACTCAGTACTTTGTTGAAGTACCTTGGCAGTGATTACAGCCTCAAGTCTTCTTGGGAATGACTCTACAAGCTTGGCACACCTGTAGTTGGGGAGTTTCTCCCATTCCTCTCTGCAGATCCTCTCAAGCTCTGTCAGGTTGGATGGGGAGCGTCACTGCACAGCTATTTCAGGTCTCTCCAGAGATGTTCGATCGGGTTCAAGTCCGTGCTCTGGCTGAGCCACTCAAGGACATTCAGAGACTTGTCCCGAAGCCACTCCTACGTTGTCTTGGCTGTGTGCTTAGGGTCGTTGTCCTGTTGGAAGGTGAACCTTTGCCCCAGTCTGAGGTCCTGAGCGCTCTGAAGCAGGTTTTCATCAAGGATCTCTCTGTACTTTGCTCCGTTCAGCTTTCCCTCGATCCTGACTAGTCTCCCAGTCCCTGCCGCTGAAAAACATCCCCACAGCATGATGCTGCCACCACCATGCTTCACCGTAGGGATGGTGCCAGGTTCCCTCCAGACGTGACGCTTGGCATTCAGGCCAAAGAGTTCAATCTTGGTTTCATCAGACCAGAGAATCTTGTTTCTCATGGTTTGAGAGTCCTTTAGGTGCCTTTTGGCAAACTCCAAACGGGCTGTCACGTGCCTTTTACTGAGGAGTGGCTTCCGTCTGGCCACTCTACCATAAAGGCCTGATTGGTGGAGTGCTGCAGAGATGGTTGTCCTTCTGGCAGGTTCTCCCATCTACACAGAGGAACTCTGGGGTTCCGTCAGAGTGACCATCGGGTTCTTGGTCACCTCCCTGACCAAGGCCCTTCTCCCCCGATTGCTCAGTTTGGCTGGGTGGCCAGCTCTAGGAAGAGTCTTGGTGGTTCCAAACTTATTCCATTTAAGAATGATGGAGGCCACTGTGTTCTTGGGGACCTTCAATGCTTGCAGACATTTTTTGGTACCCTTCCCCAGATCTGTGCCTCGAGACAATCCTGTCTTGGAGCTCTACGGACAATTATTTCGACCTCATGGCTTGGCTTTTGCTCTGACATGCACTGTCAACTGTGAGACCTTATATAGACAGGTGTGTGCCTTTCCAAATCATGTCCAATCAATTGAATTTACCACAGGTGGACTCCAATGAAGTTGTAGAAACATCTCAAGGATGATCAATGCACCTGAGCTCAATTTCGAGTCTCATGGCAAAGGGTCTGAATACTTATCAGGTATCTGTTTTTTTATTTTTAATACATTTGCAAAAAATTCTTAAAAACTGTTTTTGCTTTGTCATTATGGAGTATTGTTAGTAGATTGATGAGGGGAAAAAATATTTAATCCATTTTAGAATAAGACTGTAACATAACAGAATATGGAAGAAGGGAAGTGGTCTGAATACTTTCCGAATGCACTGTATACACACATGCAGCATGTGCAATGAAGGCACACTAAAGCATACATCCTCATTTGTATGATAGCTCTACCTCTGATCCTAGCCTTAGCCAGTAGTGGCATGATTATAGTGGCAGTATTATCTGGTGTAGCGATAGTGCTATTAGTTTTATAATATTGACAGCTTGGTGCCATGGTTGTTTCTGTGAATGGTGCTGAGGGGTTGCAGTAGCATGCTGCAGGCTGTAGGCGTCCAGAGTGGGTGTGCATTCCCCAAGCTGCCCTAAGCATGGGCTCCCTGCCAGTGGTTAAGTGTACAAACTGAACTCCCTTCCATTCACCAAAGTACTGATGAAAAATACACTGCTCAAAAAAATAAAGGGAACACTAAAATAACACATCCTAGATCTGAATGAATGAAATAATCTTATTAAATACTTATTTCTTTACATAGTTGAATGTGCTGACAACAAAATCACACAGAAATTATCAATGGAAATCAAATGTATCAACCCATGGAGGTCTGGATTTGGAGTCACCCTCAAAATTAAAGTGGAAAACCACACTACAGGCTGATCCAACTTTGATGTAATGTCCTTAAAACAAGTCAAAATGAGGCTCAGTAGTGTGTGTGGCCTCCACGTGCCTGTATGACCTCCCTACAATGCCTGGGCATGCTCCTTATGAGGTGGCGGATGGTCTCCTGAGGGATCTGCTCCCAGACCTGGACTAAAGCATCCGCCAACTCCTGGACAGTCTGTGGTGCAACGTGGCGTTGGTGGATGGAGCGAGACATGATGTCCCATATGTGCTCAATTGGATTCAGGTCTGGGGAACGGGCGGGCCAGTCCATAGCATCAATGCCTTCCTCTTGCGGGAACTGCTGACACACTCCAGCCACATGAGGTCTAGCATTGTCTTGCATTAGGAGGAACCCAGGGCCAACCGCACCAGCATATGGTCTCACAAGGGGTCTGAGGATCTCATCTCGGTACCTAATGGCAGTCAGGCTACCTCTGGCGAGCACATGGAGGGCTGTGCGGCCCCCCAAAGAAATGCCACCCCACACCATGACTGACCCACCGCCAAACTGGACATGCTGGAGGATGTTGCAGGCAGCAAAACGTTCTCCACGGCTTCTCCAGACAGTCACGGCTGTCACATGTGCTCAGTGTGAACCTGCTTTCATCTGTGAAGAGCACAGGGCGCCAGTGGCGAATTTGCCAATCTTGGTGTTCTCTGGCAAATGCCAAACGTCCTGCACGGTGTTGGGCTGTAAGCACAACCGCCACCTGTGGACGTCGGGCCCTCATACCATGCTCATGGAGTCTGTTTCTGACCGTTTGAGCAGACACATGCACATTTGTGGCCTGCTGGAGGTCATTTTGCAGGGCTCTGGCAGTGCTCCTCCTTGCACAAAGGCGGAGGTAACAGTCCTGCTGCTGGGTTGTTGCCCTCCTACGGCCTCCTCCACGTCTCCTGATGTACTGGCCTGTCTCCTGGTAGCGCCTCCATGCTCTGGCCACTACGCTGACAGACACAGCAAACCTTCTTGCCACAGCTCGCATTGATGTGCCATCCTGGATGAGCTGCACTACCTGAGCCACTTGTGTGGGTTGTAGACTCCGTCTCATGCTACCACAAGAGTGAAAGCACCACCAGCATTCAAAAGTGACCAAAACATCAGCCAGGAAGCATAGTAACTGAGAAGTGGTCTGTGGTCACCACCTGCAAAACCAGTCCTTTATTGGGGGTGTCTTGCTAATTGCCTATAATTTCCACCTGTTGTCTATTCCATTTGCACAACAGCATGTGAAATGTATTGTCAATCAGTGTTGCTTCCTAAGTGGACAGTTTGATTTCACAGAAGTGTGATTGACTTGGAGTTACATTGTGTTGTTTAAGTGTTCCCTTAATTTTTTTGAGCAGTGTACATAACAAATTCAATTCCACTTGAGCTAGCGTTCACCCACAAATAGGCTGTAACACAAATGTTCTGTATGTGTTACAAAACTTGCCATACGAGATGAGTCAGAAACAAAAAATACATGTTCAGCTATTCTTTACATGATGATGTTATTTAAACATTGTGCTACTCATGATGCAACAGGGTGCTATGGGACAGATTGAGGAGAGGAGAGGAGCAGGGAGGAGAAGAGAGAGGGTCTGGCTATACGGCTCATTATAAACATTTTTTCATTAAGGTTGTGAATGACTGGCATTAGTGCCACAGTAAACATGGCTGGAGTGGCATGAGACAGGAACACAGGCGGCAATGTGGTGACATGGTTATGCATGCGCACACACACACACACACGCATGCACACACACCCACACACAAACTGAGACAATGAACCTTGAAACTACACGTTTATCTAGGCTAGACTTGACTGTTAATGACTGTGTTTGGCCTAAAACAAATGTCATCTATAAAAACCACATCTATAATTTCATCTTAATAAAGTCTGATGAAATAAATGTTTTATAGGACAACACATAAACTCTCTTGTCCGGAGTCCCTGTGTACCAGACAGTGACCTTGGGCAGTGTGAGGGATCTCTGATGTACCTGATTGGATGTGTTGATGTCTATTCCATTCTTGATGTGGTCCAGAGCCTTGTCCAGGTTCCCTGAACGGGCCGCACGGAGGAAACTGGTGGTAGCATCCGCCTGGAGGGGAAGAGAACACAAACAGAGATAGACAGTGACAAAGACAAAGAGAGAGAGAGAGAGAGAGAGAGAGAGAGAGAGAGAGAGAGGAGAAGAAGAGAGAGAGACATAAAATTACAGTCTGGTTGAACATTCCAGTGTTAATACGAGACAAAACTGTTCACATTAACCAAATTAATTTACAGATTTTTTTTTAAACATACACATAACAGTGTAACAGCTCCTTGGTCATCCATGATCCATAATAGTAGGTCAGAGACATTCTTCAATATCAGTCTACTCTTCGAAACTACTCAGTATTCTGCTGTCTGAGAGTCTAAAAATGGCTGACAGTCCAAACTGGTGAGCCTCCCCCTCACTAGGAGTTTGGCAGCTATCCATAGCAGAGAACATGCTGGCTTTATCCCTGCACGCTGTCTGACTTCTAAAGCCTCTGTGAAAGCGGTGTTCACCTCTGCCACCATGATCAGCCAGACAGGGAGATTCTAACATGGCTGCCTAGTACTGTAGTCCAGCATGCAGTCTCCGCCTTGAGGACAGGTATTATATTGATTCTATACAGTGTGCCTACTCACCTCCACCCACACACTAATCATATGCAATATTTACTTCCCACAGTACACTCTTTTAAAAAAAGGTGCTATTTAGAACCTAAAAGGGTTCTTCGGCTGTCCTCATAGGAAAACCCTTTGAAGAACCCTTTTTGGTTACATGTAGAACTCTTTCTACAGAGGGTTCTACATGGAACCAAAAAGGGTTCTCCTATGGAAACCCTTTTTTATAAGAGTGTAGAAGACATTTTCCTCTGCTCTTTGGTTCTCTTCCCTACCCATCTCTCTCTACCTCTATACCACTCCCCTCTATCTGTCACGCTCGTTGAAGGACAGGTCAGACCAAGGCGCAGCTTGAAATGCATACATGTTTATTTTAAAGATAAACACACGAACAAAAACAACGTAACATGAAGTCCTCAGGCTAAACACAAATACAAGCCTCTACACGGAACAAGATCCCACAACAACTGATTGCCAACAGGCTACTTAAGTATGATCCCCAATCAGAGACAACGAGCGACAGGTGCCTCTGATTGGAATCACACCCGGCCAAACATAGAAACACACAACCTAGAATGAGAACATATAAATAACAACATAGATCTCCACAACCTGACTCAACATACAAGAGTAAGTCAGGGTGTGACACTATCTCCTTCCTGTTTCTCCCTGTGACCCATCTCTCTCTCTCTCCCTCTCTCCTTCTCTCCCTCCAGGGTCTCTCCCTCTCTCCTTTGATCTACTGTGTGCAATCCCAGTGGGAGGGAGTGTAAGCTGCTCCTTTCTCCCACTCTCCCTCTCCTCGCTCTATCTCTTCCTCAGTAATGTATGGATGATGTGTCCAGGCTGAGGTCTCGCCAGCATAAAACTAACACTATGCAGTGTGTGTATTTTCATTCAGTCTCAGGTAATGTGTTTGATAAGCTGCTATTACGAAGATATCATTTGTCCAATTCATTTGTACAATTGAAAATCTATAAATATTTATTGCGCACACATGAGTACTGAAACATATTTCTGATTCATGTCAAACAGGAAGTAGAAATATACACTCACTGGCCAGTTTATTAGGTACATCACCTAGCTCATGAAAATTGATCGCTCCTACAGAAAGTGAGTCACGTGGCCATGGCTTGCTATATAAAGCAGGCAGACAGCCATCAAAGCATTCAGTTACTGTTCGATTTAACGTTTGAATGGGCAAAACGAGTGACCTAAGTGACTTTGAGCGTGGTATGGTCATTGGTGCCAGGCGCACCTAATCCAGTATCTCAGAAACGGCCTCCCTGCTGAGCTTTTCACGCACGACAGTGTCTAGGGTTTACAGAGAATGGTGCAACAAACAAAAAAACATCCAGTCAGCGGCAATCCTGTGGGCGAAAAGAGAGAGAGGTCGAAGGAAAATGGCAAGAATTGTGCAAGCTAACAGGCGGGACACAAACAGACAAATAATGGCGCAGTACAACAGTGGTGTGCAGAACGGCATGTCGGAACGCACAACTCGTTGACCATGGTCACGGATGGGCTATTGCAGCAGACGACCACACCTGGTTCCACTCCTATCAGCTAAAAACAAAAAGAAGCCGCTCCAGTGGGCACACGATCACCAACACTGGACAATTGAGGAGTGGAAAAACATTGCCTGGAACATGACAACAAGTGCAGTTTTCTTAAATGGCCTGCGCAGTCCCCAGACCTCAACCCAAAAGAGCATCTTTGGGATGAGATGGAACGGGCTGTTCGCAGCATGAATGTACCGCCGTCCAATCTGCATGATGCCATCGCGTTAGCATGGACCAACATCCCTGTGGAACATTTACGACACCTTGTAGAATGCCCCGAAGAATTCAGGCTGTTCTGGAGACAACGGGTGGGTCCGACCCGGTACTAAATGGGTGTACCTAATAAACCGGCCAATGAGTGTATATTGGACATGTTTATTTTAAAGATAAACACATCTGATACGCATGATCAGTTCCAACATTTTAGGGATTTTTCTATTATCTCATTCTGACCTACAGTAACTAAGGGGTAGCCTGAGAGGTATTATGATCTATGTATTTAACACCTTGTCATCTTAGACCCCACCCTCTGTTCTGTGAGTTGATGGAGGAAGACTTATGTCGCTGAGTCAAGATTCCCCTGTAACAAACCAATATTATACTACATGTAGGATGTTTTCACATGCGAAGCCTTATGTTGCAGCTCTGAGTGCCCGTGCCAACTTGCTGGCAAATGTTCAGCATGTTTATGCTCCGATTTTCATTCTAGGTCTTTCGGCCATTTTGTTATGGGATTTCACAGCTGTTGATTGATACGTTGGATGTTTCTGCTACTTTTATGTGGGCCATATGTGAGCAGAATACTGAGGATAACGTCTCCAGCTGCCCGCCTCCCCCAGTCTCCATCAGTCTCTGAAATGGATTAGTAAGTGCATCTATGATCTTCAATGTGTGCTTCTTAACGTGATTGTCTGAGGGGGAGGGGGGTAGAATGGGTCAATCAAAGCTCGTGTTTGCGCATGATTGTGCTTGTGTGTGTGTGTGTGTGCGTGTATATGTCCTATCCTATGTTTTCATATATTCCTAGAAATGGAAATGACTGCAGAACCTCTTTGCAATCACATTCTATGTCAGCTTGTGCTTGTGTTTACGCTGTGAGGCACAAATCTATTTTCCTTCTTATGTCCCCCTCTCTCTCCATCCCCCTCTCCATCCCTCTCTCCACCTTCCCCTCCATCCCTCTCTCCACCTTCCCCTCCATCCCTCTCTCCACCTTCCACTCCATCCCTCTCTCCACCCCCCTCTCCATCCCTCTCTCCACCCCCCTCTCCATCCCTTTCTCCATCCCTTTCTCCATCCCCCTCTCCCTCTGTCTGTCATATGTGGTCAGTTTAAATCAATATATCCCAGCCCTGTCTGTTCTTTTGTAATTGTCATCTGCAGTCAGTGCGTCAATTTTACTCCGTAATTAGATCCTCAAGCCAAACATGGTGATTTACAGTCAGCATGCTGCCTTCCCATCGTTCACGTGTCCCCGGCCCTCTCTCTCTTTATCTCATTATCTCATTTTCCCTCTTGCACTCTCTCTCTTCCTCATTCTCCAGCTCCCTTCTTCTTCCCTGGCATGGCAGGCTCCCCGCCTCATTCTCTCACACCCTCCATCTCTCTTCCCACCCTCCTTCTCCCCCTCCCTTCCCTGCTTTTCCTCAGATCACTGTGTCCCTCTTGTGTCATATTGATGTGATGCTGTGTAATCATGGTATGCTGCAGTATGGCGTGACATATCACAACCATTCCTCCATTGACGGCCAGTGGAAGAGAGGAGGGTTGAGAGATCAGAGAGAGGACATGTCCGTGTTAACGCAGATTCAGTTAAAGCCTTTATTCTCATATCTGTGGAGAAATCTAATACTGTATTATAGCGCTGTGTTTATCTGCTTGCTTTTCTCCAGATTACCAGGCTCCTAGCGCACAGGAGCACACAGTGCTATCACACTGCTCTGTTGTGTATGGGTGAGGCTGTGTGTGCATGTGTAGGCTTTACCTGTGCAGTACACAAATCTGTCTGCCCTTCCAAGGCCATTTATTTTTCTTCTAAAAGCAAAATCTGTTTCCAGAGGGTGTGTGCATGTACAGTGGCTTGCGAAAGTATTCACCCCCCTTGGCATTTTTCCTATTTTGTTGCCTTACAACCTGGAATTAAAATGGATTTTTGTGGGGTTTGTATCATTTGATTTACACAACATGCCTACCACTTTGAAGATGCAAAATATTTTTTCTTGTGAAACAAACAAGAAATAACATGAAAAACAGAAAACTTGAGCATGCATAACTATTCACCTCCCCAAAGTCAATACTTTGTAGAGACTGCTGCAATTACAGTTGCAGGTTTCTTGGGGTATGTCTCTATAAGCTTGGTACATCTAGCCACTGTGATTTTTGCCCATTCTTCAAGGCAAAACTGCTCCAGCTCCTTCAAGTTGGATGGGTTCCGCTGGTGTATAGCAATCTTTAAGTTATACCACAGATTCTCAATTGGATTGAGGTCTGGGATTTGACTAGGCCAGTCCAAGACATTTAAATGTTTCCCCTTAAACCACTCAAGTGTTGCTTTAACAGTATGCTTAGGGTCATTGTCCTGCTGTAAGGTGAACCTCCGTCCCGTCACTGTTTCAGTCTGCTCTGGAAGACTGAAACAGGTTTCCCTCAAGAATTTCCCTGTATTTAGCGACGCCATCCATTCCTTCAATTCTGACCAGTTTCCCAGACCCTGCCGATGAAAAACATCCACACAGCATGATGATGCCACCACCATGCTTCACTGTGGGGATGGTGTTCTCAGGGTGATGAGAGGTGTTGGGTTTGCGCCAGACATAGCATTTTCCTTGATGGCCAAAAAGCTCAATTTTAGTCTCATCTGACCAGAGTACCTTCTTCCAAATGTTTGGGGAGTCTCCCATATGCCTTTTGGCGAACACCAAAAGTGTTTGCTTACTTTTTTTGAAGCAATGACTTTTTTCTGGCCACTCTTCATTAAAGCCCAGCTCTGTGGAGTGTACAGCTTAAAGTGGTCCTGTGGACAGATACTCCAATCTCTGCTGTGGAGCTTTGCAGCTCCTTCAGGGTTATCTTTAGTCTCTTTGTTGCCTCTCTGATTAATGCCCTCCTTGCCTGGTCCATGAATTTTGGTGGGTGGCCCTCTCTTGGCAGGTTTGTTGTGGTGCCATATTCTTTCCATTTGTTAATAATGGATTTAATGGTGCTCCGTGGGATGTTCAAAGTTTCGGATATTTGTTTATAACCCAACCCTGATCTGTACTTCTCCACAACTTCGTCCCTGAACTGTTTGGAGAACTCCTTGGTCTTCGTGGTGCCACTTGCTTGGTGGTCCCACTTGCTTAGTGGTGTTGCAGACTCTGGGGCCTTTCAGAACAGGTGTGTATATATACTGAGATCATGTGACAGATCATGCAACACTTAAATAAAGTCCACCTGTGTGCAATCTAACTAATTATGTGACTTCTGAAGGTAATTGGTTGCACCAGATCTTATTTAGGGGCTTCATAGCAAAGGGGGTGAATACATACAGTGGGGAGAACAAGTATTTGATACACTGCCGATTTTGCAGGTTTTCCTACTTACAAAGCATGTAGAGGTCTGTAATATTTATCATACGTACACTTCAACTGTGATAGACGGAATCTAAAACAAAAATCTAAAAAATCACATTGTATGATTTTTAAGTAATTCATTTGCATTTTATTGCATGACATAAGTATTTGATCACCTACCAACCAGTAAGAATTCCGGCTCTCACAGACCTGTTAGTTTTTCTTTAAGAAGCCCTCCTGTTCTCCACTCATTACCTGTATTAACTGCACCTGTTTTAACTTGTTACCTGTATAAAAGACACCTGTCCACACACTCAATCAAACAGACTCCAACCTCTCCACAATGGCCAAGACCAGAGAGCTGTGTAAGGACATCAGGGATAAAATTGTAGACCTGCACAAGGCTGGGATGGGCTACAGGACAATAGTCAAGCAGCTTGGTGAGAAGGCAACAACTGTTGGCGCAATTATTAGAAAATAGAAGAAGTTCAAGATGATGGTCAATCACCCTCGGTCTGGGGCTCCATGCAAGATCTCACCTCGTGGGGCATCAATGATCATGAGGAAGGTGAAGGATCAGCCCAGAACTACACGGCAGGACCTAGTCAATGACCTGAAGAGAGCTGGGACCACAGTCTCAAAGAAAACCATTAGTAACACACTACGCCGTCATGGATTAAAATCCTGCAGCGCACGCAAGGTCCCCCTGCTCAAGCCAGCGCATGTCCAGGCCCGTCTGAAGTTTGCCAATGACCATTTGGATGATCCAGAGGAGGAATGGGAGAAGGTCATGTGGTCTGATGAGACAAAAATAGAGCTTTTTGGTCTAAACTCCACTCGCTGTGTTTGGAGGAAGAAGAAGGATGAGTACAACCCCAAGAACACCATCCCAACCGTGAAGCATGGAGGTGGAAACATCATTCTTTGGGGATGCTTTTCTGCAAAGGGGACAGGACGACTGCACCGTATTGAGGGGAGGATGGATGGGGCCATGTATCGCGAGATCTTGGCCAACAACCTCCTTCCCTCAGTAAGAGCATTGAAGATGGGTCGTGGCTGGGTCTTCCAGCATGACAACGACCCAAAACACACAGCTAGGGCAACTAAGGAGTAGCTCCGTAAGAAGCATCTCAAGGTCCTGGAGTGGCCTAGCCAGTCTCCAGACCTGAACCCAATAGAACATCTTTGGAGGGAGCTGATAGTCCGTATTGCCCAGCGACAGCCCCGAAACCTGAAGGATCTGGAGAAGGTCTGTATGGAGGGGTGGGCCAAAATCCCTGCTGCAGTTTGTGCAAACCTGGTCAAGACCTACAGGAAACGTATGATCTCTGTAATTGCAAACAAAGGTTTCTGTACCAAATATTAAGTTCTGCTTTTCTGATGTATCAAATACTTATGTCATGCAATAAAATGCAAATTAATTACTTTAAAATCATACAATGTGATTTTCTGGATTTTTGTTTTAGATTCCGTCTCTCACAGTTGAAGTGTACATATGATAAAAATTACAGATCTCTACATGCTTTGTAAATAGGAAAACCTGCAAAATAGGCAGTGTATCAAATACAGTGGGGGAAAAAAGTATTTAGTCAGCCACCAATTGTGCAAGTTCTCCCACTTAAAAAGATGAGAGAGGCCTGTAATTTTCATCATAGGTACACGTCAACTATGACAGACAAAATGAGGAAAAAAAATCCAGAAAATCACATTGTAGGATTTTTTATGAATTTATTTGCAAATTATGGTGGAAAATAAGTATTTGGTCACCTACAAACAAGCAAGATTTCTGGCTCTCACAGACCTGTAACTTCTTCTTTAAGAGGCTCCTCTGTCCTCCACTCGTTACCTGTATTAATGGCACCTGTTTGAACTTGTTATCAGTATAAAAGACACCTGTCCACAACCTCAAACAGTCACACTCCAAACTCCACTATGGCCAAGACCAAAGAGCTGTCAAAGGACACCAGAAACAAAATTGTAGACCTGCACCAGGCTGGGAAGGCTGAATCTGCAATAGGTAAGCAGCTTGGTTTGAAGAAATCAACTGTGGGAGCAATTATTAGGAAATGCAAGACATACAAGACCACTGATAATCTCCCTCGATCTGGGGCTCCACGCAAGATCTCACCCCGTGGGGTCAAAATGATCACAAGAACGGTGAGCAAAAATCCCAGAACCACACGGGGGGACCTAGTGAATGACCTGCAGAGAGCTGGGACCAAAGTAACAAAGCCTACCATCAGTAACACACTACGCCGCCAGGGACTCAAATCCTGCAGTGCCAGACGTGTCCCCCTGCTTAAGCCAGTACATGTCCAGGCCCGTTTGAAGTTTGCTAGAGTGCATTTGGATGATCCAGAAGAGGGTTGGGAGAATGTCATATGGTCAGATGAAACCAAAATATAACTTTTTGGTAAAAACTCAACTCGTCGTGTTTGGAGGACAAAGAATGCTGAGTTGCATCCAAAGAACACCATACCTACTGTGAAGCATGGGGGTGGAAACATCATGCTTTGGGGCTGTTTTCCTGCAAAGGGACCAGGACGACTGATCCGTGTAAAGGAAAGAATGAATGGGGCCATGTATCGTGAGATTTTGAGTGAAAACCTCCTTCCATCAGCAAGGGCATTGAAGATGAAACGTGGCTGGGTCTTTCAGCATGACAATGATCCCAAACACACCGCCCGGGCAACGAAGGAGTGGCTTCGTAAGAAGCATTTCATGGTCCTGGAGTGGCCTAGCCAGT